TTAAGACAAGTTCTTTCGATATCAGCACTTAAATCCTTATTTTTGAAGTTGGTCCCTCAAATTATTAAAATTGCTATTAGATCCCTAAATTCTTACATTATTTCAAAGGTCGTCCCGTAAATCATTGAAATGCTAATAGGTCCCCCGATATTATTATGATTAATTTGGTACAACTCATGAGAATTTGGGAACCTAATACCAATGCCAATGATTTAGAGGACTAATTTTTATATAATTTAATGATTTGAAGGATCTAATAGCAATTTCAATGAGTGAGAGACTAATTTCAAAATACTGGAGATTAGAGGACCTTGGCTCCGCCCTTGCCAAGTATAATGTTTTATCTTGATTGAAGACATACTTTCCATGCCTTCTCATATTCAACTTTTCAGCTGATTGGTTACCAGATCTTGAATAGTTTCATGCCCCAAAAAACATGTATTTCTCTAATAATTTTGAGCGACTTGCATGCTCGAAAGCTGCCATTTCATTTTGACATAAATTACCTTGATAAGAGCATGTTTTGAAATAATTATTAGATTTCTCGTATATTATCTGGCTTTATTATGGTATAGATGTTTTCCATTCTCCTACCCACTTCAACTCCCTTAGAACACCTCACTGCTTCTAAGGAATCTTGAGCAAATAAATCTTTGTACCATCTTTCAACAATGGATCTCCATGTGAACGATATTAAATATGCTGCAGTTATGGACTGCAAATTTTGAGGCACAAGATTGTAAATTAATAACCATTAACTCACTAATGTGGAATTTCTAAAACATAATCAGGAGGCAACAAAAAGTAACTGTTCCTATTTTAAAATGCTCACCAAATATTAAAATAGGAGAAGACACTGTATATTTGCATGTGTAAACATAGAACCAGCAAACAATATAAAAAAGTAGCATATTGAATTTAACTCTGTAATCACGAAGAGACTTGCCTCGAAGCGGTAATCCTTTTCCACAACACCAACCGTAGCTCCTGGATGGCGAGCTCCAACAAGCATGAATGCTGAAATCCAAATCAGTTTCTCTAACATCTGCTTCTGGAAAGCTTCCTTTTCAAGAACCTGTACACTTTCACAATCAAACATGGAAACTAGCATCAAACTCCATTAGGACTCTTTTGGTTGCTCGTAATGGGAAACTAACTGTTTCTCAAAGTTAAAAGTCATTGACTTGTAAATCCAATTGAAACTACTTGAATACTTGTCATAAAGATGTTTGATTCAATTAAGTATCAGTCGGTTGCTCTTTGTTTCTCGTTAGATGCACTGAAAACTCAACTCATAATGTCTAAGCCATATAACAATAGTAACCTCTTTGAGAGAATGGCAAGAATTAGAATGCAAGCACTCCATATGATGATATGAGCCTGTGACTGGAACTGAATAAATTGCAATACTGATACTGGAACTGAATAAATACAATAATAAATCACATAGCGGCATTTCCTTTATCCTGTCTTTAGAAGCAATATGAAATTTTGCTTAAAGAAAGTCAATTTTAAAACGCATAAGCGCTCACCAAAATGTTGTGATGGTATACAGATGACATCTGTGCATAATTGTGTCAAGAGATCATTTTAACTTAAGACACTCAAACCGTTGTGTAGGAATCATGAAACCTTATATTATATCTCATAATCACAATAGTATGAGTTACTGACAATTGTAGATTAATATATGGTGGGTGAAGAAATAAAATATCTCATAATCACAATAGTATGAGTTACTGACAATTGTAGATTAATATATGGTGGGTGAAGAAATAAACTAAAATTAACAAATTTCAACCCAAATTACTGACAATTGTAGATTAATATATGGTGGGTGAAGAAATAAACTAAAATTAACAAATTTCAACCCAAATTCTGTCGCACGAATATAATTTATTTCACATCTGAGAGAAGTTGCAGAAGAAGATTGCTAAACTTAATCTCCAAACATATACCACAAGGATGATAAATTTCAAACAAAAGTTTATTAAAATCATTCCGATGTTATTAGTTCCTACAGCCAGAAGAACTTGCACCTCATTGTATATTTTGAGAAATATTTGAATCAAAACATATAAACAACTGTAGAACCATATGTAATCGCACAGAAGTATACCTTGCAGGAGAGGCCTCCACTATGTAACCGGGCAGCCACCGCCGACGCCCATTTGCCGAAGGCAGCGGTCAGCCCTTCAGGATCAGTATCGGTTTTCCCATCAATAGGAGGTTCTCCAAGTTTTGATATAGCAAAATAAGCCAGAACTTGGTTGGCATCATTTAGCCCTTTGCTTTGAAGCCATGGATCAAGCATTCCGTTCTGGAAAAATACAAGATCTGCAATAAAATTGAGATTTCAGACATTTCTGAAAATTTTGAAAAAACAATGACAATACTCTATGTTAAAAAAAAGAAAAAAAGAAAAGACAAATATAAAAAGTTTTAAGATGTTTTAATTAGATACCATGTTAAGCATCAATACACTGATATCAGCCACGGCAACTTGCAATCGAATAAAAGGATAAACTACAAAAGGAACCTACGGTTTTTCTTCCTCAAAGGGAAACAGCTCATGTAAGAGAAAGGCACAGACAAAACTCAATTTAAATGGTAGGTTTTAATTGAATTACAATCCTCGTTCAAATAGCATGAAGGCTATACAAACATTAAATACAATGGAGGCCAGTAATAAAAACAAGGCTACATTTTTCTTGAAGAGGCTAGAATACGGGCTATGGCATTGCTACAATTAACACCAGAACAGCACAATTTCTACCAAAAAAACTCAACAAAATCAAATCTTTTTATCTCAAGACAAACAAAAATCTAAGCTTTAAGCAAAAAAAAAAAAAAACACAAATAAACTAGGGCAATTACCGTTCCATCGGGAAGCAGGAGTGGACTCAAGCACCGCCTCAAGATCATCATTCCGAGTGCAAACCAAGATGGGCCCATAGAAATCGGAGGGAACCGGCTGCCCCCTCCCCACGAGCACAACGCGTCCGTTTCCCATGCTCTGTAGCACTCAGCGAGGCGGCGGCCATTTGAGGGTGCCGATGATGGGCTCATGATTGGGTGTTTGTGGGTTCAGTGCAGATTTGGGCTTTTCGTTGGCACGATGAGAGCCACATATTTCTTAATCGTCATTGATCAGTTTATTCTATGTTGGGCTGGGGCCTTTCTGGGCCCATTTTTGGGCTTATGTTGACTGGGCTTACTTCTGCTCTCAAAGCGTAGGCATTTTTCAAAGATACGTTTCAAATCATCACAAATTTTATTTTACCCCTACAATTATTTTAGCGATCATTTTTAGGAAAAATTGTGCCTAGCCCCCAAAGTAAGAAATCTCATGTGACCAAACAAATTCACTTTTGGCCAACATGCTCAAGTCCTTTGATTGTAAATTTTATGTGAAAGGGACACTTTTTACCTGACACCCCGGAAAAAACTTTCTTTTTTTAAATGCTGATCAAACTACGCATCCTTAGCCTTTTATGTTTTTCCCCCTCATGAATCCATGAGTAGTTTTCTTCCCTCTCATCCTTAACCATTCTCTCTTTCCCACCGTCTCTCCCATTCCATCATCTTTGTCTTTCTTCTCACCATTTCTCAATAATTTTTTGCCGCTATGCTCTCTCTTTTATTATTTTAACTCTTTGCAACCATCTATCCTCCTCCCACAACCATTGTCACATCACTCAAAGACTACCTCCTTTGGGCTAAAACTACTATCTCCTAAAGTTACATCGAAGTTTACACTTACAGTTAAAGTTAACATATAGATTCAACAAATAGATATTAATTCCGTGACTTAGTTATTGAGTTTAACGTATCGATGTTAACTATATGACTTAAGTGTTAAATTTAATAGACATATGTTAACTATATGAATTAGATGTCAAGATTAACAGATTGGTGTTTATTATATGAACTGGCCTCTAGTCCTTGTAGCTAACATCTGTTTTCTACAACTATTATATATGCAGCTTGGTTCAGCAACTGATAGGTTAAAAGCTAACATCTATTATGTAAGCTTATCATCAACCATCAAAGAGGAGGAGGCAGCAAGGTTTGGAGAGCAAATTAAGAGGAGGAAATTAAAGTAGAGAGATGAGATTGAAGAGAGAAAAAGGAAAAAGTGAATGAGTGGAAAAGGAAGAAGAGACAGAGAAAGAGGGACGGCGATGCGATTAAGATGGAGGAGATCGAGAGGAAAAATGATGAAGTGGAAGAAAGAAGAGAAAAGGGAGGATAAATTAAGGAGGTAGGAAAAATGCTAAACGTGGGAAATGAAGGAAAACATGAATATATGATAAGAATAATTTAGAACAAGATAAAGAAAAAGGGTGAAAGAAAGAAAAGCTTAAAAAAAAGGTTTGGACGCATTTGACTTAAGTCAATGGGCTAAGTCACATTGTGATTCTTATTTTAGGGTCTAGACACAAATTTTCCCTAATTTGCCCTTTTAGGCTAAATTGTTGTCAGAATTTTACATAAAAGGTTGTTATACATTTGGGCTTGTTAGAATAAACTAGTTTCAGGCCCGTGCGATGCACGGATTTGTTTAATATACAAAAATTGATGTAGCAAAAGAATACAAACAGTTCAAACAGTTTACGAAGCGTTCAAACAGTTTACGAAGCATCTTGTTTGGAAAATTGAAAAGGCAGGGAGAGTTAGTTTAAATCTCAAGGAGAACTTTTTATTTTTTATTTCAAATTTAATATGGAGAACTTTTGTAGAAACTTGACAAGTGGCACTTGTAAGAAGATAGCAATTGATATGTTTGCCAAGTGTTGTTTAAAATGGTATGAGCCATTTTTGCCAAGTGGCATTTTTGCCAAGTGGCGAATTGAAGGGTAATAACTTTTAGTAATAGTATATAGATATGAAATATTTTATCCAGTGATAAATCATAGCTGATTATTTCTTAATTATTGTCAACGAGCTAGCAAATAAAAGATAACTTTTACGGTAAAGATGACGTTAATAATGTAGGCGCTAAATTTAGAATTAAGTAACGAAAATTTTAGAATTTGAACTATGATTTTAACATTAATCCTATCATAAGCCTACAAACAAAGTTTAATTAAGTAATTTCCAGATAGTACTTGGAGTTTTTAGAAGGTTATTTTAATTTCAACTGCAGAAGCAATTTAACTAAGCTAATTATATAATAAGGTTTTCAACTGCAGAAGCAATTTAATTAAGCTAACATAATAAGGTTTTACTGGAACTTTTCAGAGACATAAACTGTGCAATTAAAGAATCATAATTTTTTTTTTCTATGATTCAGATATCTTTTACTTTCTTTGTGCAACTCTGGTCAAGATTGTCATATGTAAACATAAAGTTGAGAAAAATATTAAAACTTGAAGAATTTAAATCGATTCTCCAATCTATTCTCAATATCTTATCTCACTCCCTAGCGAGTCCAAATCCTCTGTAACAAGCTATACTATCATCAATGCGGTGGAATACGCAAATATAAAAACAACCGCATAGTTGATTTGGTGATGGAAATAACATGATAGGTAAAGGAATCAATTAGGTTTCTTCTACAAGCAACAACTTAATCTGGATGTGTGTTTGGCAACTCGCTAAAATTGAGCCACACTTGTTCCTTAAACTAGTTTCGAAAAGAACCAGTTTAGTCATGAACCAATTCTCCCCGGTTCACAATTTAGTCAATTTAGGGTCCAAAAAATAAACTGAAGTAAACCGGTTTGCTTTCGAATCAGTTTTAACAAGGACAAATTTTTAAAAGTACCATTTTTTTAATTTTATATAGCAAAACCAACCACTTCTCAAAATAAGTTGCAAAAACAACCTATTTCTTCGGAAAAGAGTCGGTTTTGCAGCCGTGCCAGCAATTAAAATGCACGGGACCAGCGTGCATTTGATTCTTTTACACCCTAATCTCCGTTTTTAACTCTCGCTCCATTCAAAATCATATTTTTATTGGAAAAAAAATCTGATCTTCCCCCCTTCTTTTGACCGCAGCTACGAGTTCCAATCCGTCGATCTCCTCCGTCGAGCGATGACTCACTCATCCTACTCCCATGAGAACTTCCGATCCCTCAGCATCCTCGGCCTTAGCGTCATCCAGACATCCGTCTCGATGAAACTGCTGACGAAGGATCTCGATGTGTCGGCCAAGGAGATGAACATCAAGATAGCCGAGGTCTTCAATGTGGAGGGTTGCACACTTGCCCCGCTGCCGGATCGAGGTAGGGACTGGAGAAGGTGGTTAGAGTTTCGAAGAGGACGAACGTGCCGGCGTCGGTGGTGGTTTGCGCCGTTAAGGGCGATCTTCAGCGGGGTTGTGATGGATAGCGAGACCCGGTGAGGCCCGAGGGGGCGGGTGTGGGGTCCATGATGAAAGATGGAGGATGGGGGAATTGCNGTGCATTTCTGGCATTTGAAAAACTACACGGCTGCAAAACAGACCATTTTCCGAAGAAAATGGTCGGTTTTACAGATTATTTTGAGAAGTTGTCGGATTTGCTATATAAAATTGAAAAAAGTTTTTTTTTAAAAAAATTTGTCTGTTTGAACAATCAACAAAATAGTGAAAAAAAAATCCGAAAATCCCATTTCTGAGAAGGCCCATGTAGTAGCCCAACAAACAAATTCAAACCGTCTTTTTTCCCGTTGAATCTAGTAACTTAAGGGGATGAGCTGTCCTCCAAATTCTTAACATCATCATTCAACACTCAATCCCAATCCCCAAAAAACGAAAAAAACCATCCGTTTGGATACCATTGTGTTTTACTTGTTTCCATGATGTTTTTGCCAAAAACAAAACATCATGCGTTCGGAAACCATAGTGTTTTTTGAACTAAATCATTTTTAAACAAAAAACACAACACTTATTTCAAAACACATAAACCAAAAACACAACACTTATTTCAAAACACCTAAAATGTGTTTTTAAGTTTGGTGTTTTGGTTTTGAGTTTGAGAAAGTGTTAATATAATATTTAACATAATATATTAAATATAATTAATATAGAGTTATTATCATCATTCTTATTATACTATACTATACTATATTATAGTTAATCTAATATATTAATAATATTTATTTAAAAATATAATAAATAAAATATCGTATATAACAATATAATAACATATTAAATACTAGTATTTAATATGTTAACAATGTATTATATAACAATAAGTAATAAAAAAATATAAATAAGCTAATAAAAAATAAAAAAGTTAAATAAACTGTAATAAAGTAATAATTATAAAATAAAAAATAAAATAACAATATAATAAGGATATTATAATAATATGTTGTATAGTAAATGTAAAAAAATATAAAATATCAATATATTATGTAATAAATAGAATAATTTATTGCTAACAAATGTTAATGTAAAAATAATATATTCTTAATATAATAATATTTATTTATATCATAAATTATTAATATACTATTAAATTACTATTAATAAATCCTAACGTATTGACAATAGGAATATTAACATTATTATAAATAAAATAATTTATTGTTAACAAATGTTAATTTAAAAATAATATAATAGCCACTCTCTCTTGCCTTTCTCTTCAATTCCCGTCAGCCCCAAGCCACCGTCCTCCGTTGCCTCCTCAAGCTCCGAACACCCCTCACCTCCCTCCACCACAGAACCGTCTTCCCCGGCGAACAGCACCACAGATTCGTCGTCGTCGTCAGATCTCTCCCGCACTCGTCGCCGATTCGAGTTCGCTGCATCCGAACAGCTACCGCCCTCCCTCAGCCACCGAAGTCCGCCGCCGTCCTCCTTTTCCCTCAGTTCGAAGACAACGCAGGGAAAGGCAAAATTCGGATCTGATTTGTCTTCGGATCTGGTTTGTTTTGATCGGACCCGATTCCGAACTCAGTTGGATCTGATTTTCAGCCCGACGATGGTATCAGTTTCTCTCTATGTTTTTTTCCGTTAATTTCATTTATTAGTTAATTGCATGAGTAATACAGATCTCTAAATTCTTATCGTATATTCGCCGCTTAGCTCTTACTCGTGAGTTGAGAGTAACTGATGAACGTGCGATTGTTGCAATTTTGATATTGATTTTAGAGCTTGTGCCCGATAACGAATATTGCGATTAAATTGATTGAGAATTGAAATTATTTATAACTATTGATGCGAATCTTGTTAAATCAATCTGTGTCACATTAATCGTTTTGAATTTAATTTCCTGCCGAAAGATCATGAATTTTGGCGAAACGGTGCGTTATTCGATTTAGATCGCTGATTCTAGTAGACCCCATGCCCTGTTTGGCATCAGGCATGGGCAGTAAATGATGAAATTTGGCATTGGCCCCCTAAAATACCCTTGGTCCAAAAGCAAATTTCAGATGCTAAAAATGAAAATAAATTGAAAAGTGGATGGCAAATGCGGAAGAAAAACTAAAAACCCATTCAGCTTTCATACAATGTAAATTATTGTTTCAAGTTTGAGAAAAAGAATTTTTTCTTATTTCTGAGAATTTCTCTATGTGCAGGTGGTCCTTGCAGCTTCTATCATTAGCAAGACTGGCAAAGGTGGGTTTTCTGTCTGTCTCTTAATGGAAGTTACATGCTTTCTCTTATTTTCTTATACTTGTTAATGTGTTAGTTTATGAGTTATATAATGAAAAATTTCACTTCTGTACGTGGCAAAGACACACTGTACCATTGAAAAGGACATTTATGACTTTTAAAATTTAAGGATTTTAATCAATATGTGCTTATTCCAAGTAAAAAGTGGAATCCTATAAATATCTATTCGTTTCCTTTTTATATAGTAGGCCAGAAATTGAAACCACCATATTCTGTTGTTGCGATTTCCTATCCTCGTCAATATTGCAAATTTGTTGGCATGCACCGAATCTTCATTTTTTTGTTACATTTTCCTTCTATTTCTATGGTGTAGGCATCCTTTTGAGTACTTTTTTAGTCTGCGTTCTAACCCGATCTTCAACCTAGGACCTCCTGTAGCACCAATTTGGTTTTTCTCAGTTACCCATGTCTTTAGGAGGAATTCTTGTGAGTTTATAAAGCTAATAAAGTACACTTATTTTTCATCAAATGATCTTTTTGACACATTATTCTCTTTAATCTCCTACATCTACATTTCTTTCCCAACATTTTAAGTACAAAAAACATTCACTATATCATGCACAAATCTTTATTGTCTTGAAACTTTGTTCAATATTCTCTCATCTGTAACTGCTAAAAATTAAGATCAATTTGTTCTCTGAAAAAAAAATTGAGCTACCTAACTAAGTTTGTAACTCTTGCTGCTATGGAGATTTCTTTTCTACATTACACGCATTGCTTAATCATATTGCAAATCTGCTAGCATAACATAAGAATGGGATTGGGTGTCTATTGTGTCAGTTTAATCCTGGGGCCATCGTCAAATCTCATTTACCCAATTTTACCTGTTGATTATTAGAAAATGATTCAACTGAACTCGCATTTCATTTTGGCTGAACTGCAGCACTTGTTTCGAGACAGTTTGTTGATATGTCCAGAATAAGGATAGAAGGACTGCTTGCAGCATTTCCCAAGTTAGTGGGAACTGGAAAGCAACACACTTATGTAGAGACTGAGAACGTTCGCTATGTTTACCAACCAATTGAACTACTTTATCTGCTGCTTGTGACCAACAAACAAAGTAACATTCTTGAAGACCTGGATACACTGAGACTGCTATCCAAACTGGTATACTTCTTTTGCCTTACACTGAGTTTTAAATTTTAATTATAGCTCGAGCACTATTCCATGCATTCATGATATTGTAATTTCTCCTTGCATTTTGTTGTTGTATCACAATGATAATTTCTCAAAAGAAGTTTTTAGTAACTGCTAAACTCTTTTTAAATTTTATAAACATGTGTATATATGTGTAGTGTTCTATATACTTCTGCTAGTTGCTTGTTTGGAACTGCAAGAGAAGGAAAAATTTTCCTTTCATTTGTTTAGAAGTCAACCCAAAGACTAATGTTGATTATGACATAGGATGCCCAAATCAAAACAGTAGCAGCAGATGTTACAGTAAGATTTGCAAAATGATTTGCAGGCAGGTATTCTGCGAGTCATTTTACTGAAAACACTTTTCTGCAACTTAACTTCTTGTTGCAGAACTCTTTCAGCAGCAGGAACTAGGAAGAAAGTGTAGGATCTGAAATAGATACACTTGAACACTAGAGGGGGGGTGAATAGTGTTCTTTTAAAATTATTGCAAAGTAGATAATAAATTGCAAAGAAAAAAATGGCAATCTCAGAAATTTGCAAACACAAACACAAGGATTTTATACTGGTTCCACCAAACTGGTGTACATCCAGTCCCCAAGCAAATCCCGCTTGAGAGTTTTCACTATGATTTTGAATAAACTTACAAAATCAAATGCAAACCTGACCAATTTGCAAGTTCCTGCAAATTGCAACACCAATTGACAAACTCCTTGTCAATTTGAACACCAATCTCTAACCCAAGAGACTAACCCTCTCACAACCGAGAGAAAACTTGTTGAAGAAGAACACAATGATCCTATAAGCCTTGAATGTGTAATAATGTGCAGCAGTGGCTTAGGATTCTTTTAATCTTTGTAAAATTGCCTAATTGATTTGTTTTTGATGAAAGTATATAGGCAATTTCAGAAACTCTTCTTTTTCAGAAAATCAGAATGTTTTTCACTTAGGAAATTGCTCAAGAATCAAAGCTTATGGGTATGTATATTTCTCCAATTTTTCTGAACAAATAACCTATATATACCCCTTGAAAAGACAAGTTTTTAAAGTTTGAAAACGTTTAAAAACGGCCAAAATCTGAGAATTTCTCTATGTGCAGGTGGTCCTTGCAGCTTCTATCATTAGCAAGACTGGCAAAGGTGGGTTTTCTGTCTGTCTCTTAATGGAAGTTACATGCTTTCTCTTATTTTCTTATACTTGTTAATGTGTTAGTTTATGAGTTATATAATGAAAAATTTCACTTCTGTACGTGGCAAAGACACACTGTACCATTGAAAAGGACATTTATGACTTTTAAAATTTAAGGATTTTAATCAATATGTGCTTATTCCAAGTAAAAAGTGGAATCCTATAAATATCTATTCGTTTCCTTTTTATATAGTAGGCCAGAAATTGAAACCACCATATTCTGTTGTTGCGATTTCCTATCCTCGTCAATATTGCAAATTTGTTGGCATGCACCGAATCTTCATTTTTTTGTTACATTTTCCTTCTATTTCTATGGTGTAGGCATCCTTTTGAGTACTTTTTTAGTCTGCGTTCTAACCCGATCTTCAACCTAGGACCTCCTGTAGCACCAATTTGGTTTTTCTCAGTTACCCATGTCTTTAGGAGGAATTCTTGTGAGTTTATAAAGCTAATAAAGTACACTTATTTTTCATCAAATGATCTTTTTGACACATTATTCTCTTTAATCTCCTACATCTACATTTCTTTCCCAACATTTTAAGTACAAAAAACATTCACTATATCATGCACAAATCTTTATTGTCTTGAAACTTTGTTCAATATTCTCTCATCTGTAACTGCTAAAAATTAAGATCAATTTGTTCTCTGAAAAAAAAATTGAGCTACCTAACTAAGTTTGTAACTCTTGCTGCTATGGAGATTTCTTTTCTACATTACACGCATTGCTTAATCATATTGCAAATCTGCTAGCATAACATAAGAATGGGATTGGGTGTCTATTGTGTCAGTTTAATCCTGGGGCCATCGTCAAATCTCATTTACCCAATTTTACCTGTTGATTATTAGAAAATGATTCAACTGAACTCGCATTTCATTTTGGCTGAACTGCAGCACTTGTTTCGAGACAGTTTGTTGATATGTCCAGAATAAGGATAGAAGGACTGCTTGCAGCATTTCCCAAGTTAGTGGGAACTGGAAAGCAACACACTTATGTAGAGACTGAGAACGTTCGCTATGTTTACCAACCAATTGAACTACTTTATCTGCTGCTTGTGACCAACAAACAAAGTAACATTCTTGAAGACCTGGATACACTGAGACTGCTATCCAAACTGGTATACTTCTTTTGCCTTACACTGAGTTTTAAATTTTAAGACTAGTAAAAAGTATGCAAGCGAAGTGAGATAGTACCATATATAGAATTTCTCACTATGGTATTGAATAGAGTTTAATGTTCCTTTTTTATCAAAAAATATAGTTGGATTTCTCCATGTTACATGTGAAGGTTAATATTGAATCATCCTTTAATCTTTTTAGGTACCTGAATATGCACCCAGTTTAGATGAAGAAGGTGTTTGCAAGATGGCTTTTGAGCTGATTTTTGCCTTTGATGAAGCTATTTCTCTTGGGCATAAAGAAAATGTGACAGTTGCGCAAGTTAAGCAGTACTGTGAAATGGAAAGTCATGAGGAAAGGTTGCATAAACTGCTCATGCAGAGCAAGATAGATGAAACTAAAGATGTCATGAAGCGGAAGGCTAGTGAGATTGACAAAAGCAAGGTTTGTATTTCCATGAATATGTAATATTCCTATGTAATTTTCTAATCTTTTCAACTCGCATTAGGTTGAAACTGTGGTTTGAGAATATTAATACTGATCATCTAGCCAGATCAATATATAAAAAAAATTAGTTGCTTACACAATTAATAATTGAGTGATTTTTTTTTCTGATTAATGATTCTGAATCAGTCGGTTTAGGACAAGGACATCCTCAATATTCTGGATAAAGGTTTATGATATCTGATCAACTATACTAATTGAATTCACGTATACTCTATTTTTCGCGAGACTTTCAGGATGTAAAAACTGAACTTTGTTGTTCATGAGATTCGCTTGTTATTATTATTATTTTTTTATTCATGAGATTCACTTGTTATTATACATAATAGAATGACCATTCTATGCCACTGACGTCAAGTAAGAGCTATAACTTATTTTCTAAAATTTATTCTTGGTTGTGCGCCTTCATGGAATGATACCGTGGAAATTGAATCATGAGATATCAGGCGTTTAACTTGAACCTTGTTTTCTTAGGTTAAATCTGTGATCACTAAAGCTAATGTTGCCAAGAATCATGCCTTGCAGTTACATGCCAAGTCTTCCTCTTGGCCATAGGTCACCTGACCAGAACTCTTGTTCTCAAACTCACGTAGGCTTACTAATCAAAATGATGTACTATTAAATTATGTTTTTCACCTCATTCTCGGCCATATTGGTTACTAAATTCTCTACTAAGAAAAAACTAAATTGGTTTCCATGGTTTATCATCTATTTCTGCCTGGCCATCACAAGATGCTGTTTCATCTTCTTCCTCCACCAGCATCATTTCATGTTCCTTGTTGCATAACTCATATTTTCATTTGCTATCTAGGTTGTTCAAGTGAATCGCTAACCCACTAATATTCATAGTTCTGCAAGCACAATATAGTCACATAGATGAGCTAGAGAAAGAGATGTGGATAATTAGAGAGCATCCTCTTGATCAATTGAGACTGCCTAATCATTTATGCACAGACCTTTATGTTTGACATGCACATACTATGTGAAACCCCAACAATGAAGCATATATCGCTGGTTAATCGATTTGAATTTTAACTAAAATTTTCTTCTTATGCATCTATGCTAATTTTGTCTTCAACAATCGTGTCATATCCAATGCTCTACATATGTTCTAATAGTTATCTATGTTGTGTATTTGTTGCATATTTCCCTTTTATTTCAATAGCGTTTAGCATTCTCTTGAAAAATACATTGCAGAATGATGTTATGTTTATGATTTTTTTTTCATAATGTCGCAGATTGAGAAGAACAGAGGTGATAAAGGAGGATTTATGGCTATGTCAGGTCCGAGAAGAATTGAAAGTAGTTTCAGTGACATGAGTATTTCTAGCAACAGCGGCGGTTTTGGAAGTGGTTCTGGCTTCGGATTAAGCTCAGATGTGGAATCATTCTCTAGCAAGTCTAAAGGTTTCAACTCTATGACTTCTGTTTATCACCTAAAAGCATCGTTAAATTTCTTGGAAACATTCTGTTGACTTGATCATTGCATGTAGTGACATGCTTGATAATTTTGTTTCCTTTGTCTATGTAACAAGCTTAATTGTTGGTTGTATTTTGGATTATAGTACTTCATTCACTTTAATGACTCTTCTTTCTGATGACTTGTATGTTCAACGTACATTCTCTTATGTAAACTCATTATGTAATAATAGTATTAAATGTAAATTATGCAAAATAGTGCAATTCATAGGAAGAGAAAAACCATTTCAAGTGGCAGTAAAATTCTTTGCTAGAAGAAATATTATCTTAATTTGCAAGATTCAGCCTGAGTTGCTGCAAAGTGAATTGTTCTTCAGAGTTACATTTACATGGTATTGGATGCAGGACTGACAATATAAACTGTGTTTTTTTTATATTCATGAGTGTGTACATCACTGTTACCACTTGCAAAATGTTATGGGTTTAGTGGGATCATCAGATAATAGTTGTGAAGTTAAGCCAACAACATGGTGTTGCTTAATTGAACCCGTGGAGCAACATCCTGGAGAAGGGAGATTTGTACGTCAGTGAACAAAGAAGTGTGTCTGAATTCATGTTGGTGGGTGCCTGGCTCTCTCTAAACCCTTTACCCTGAGCTTTGGGATCATTAAGGATTTTGTCAATGAGTCAGCTTATCCTTAACTTTTTTTTGGGTATAGTTTCAATTCTATTCGGGTTCTCTTGTAAAATCAATTTAATTTATAACTAAGTATAAAAACCCCAATCAAGTCCTAGACATAAAAATTTGTTTCAGTGAATCAGATTCGATTTTGATTCTTTTTCAAAGTCTATATATCATATTATGTTTGCCATTTCTATAGACCTGAAAAATCATCTTAAATGAATGATATATTGGAACATAGTGTGTGTGGGCACTTTGTGAACAAGTGACAAAACTCAAAATTACTTGGTATGTTTCTGTAACAGACTTGTGCATTATTCTTATATCATACTAGTTGAGATTCATATATCACTTAATAATTTCATACACAATTATACTTAGGCTTCTATGTCATTTATATTTTAAGCACCATAACTTCTTACCCACAAAACTTGTTCTCATCTTTTAGCTATTAAAACCTCAAATTATCATAAGTTTTATTATTGCTCTCTTGTTTTTCCTAAGAAGCTATCTGAAAATCCAGGTCGTCCACCTTCAACTGCGACAGCTCCCTCTAAAGGTCTTGGTATGCAGCTTGGCAAGACACAAAAGACGAGTCAGTTAATGAATTCACTCAAAGCTGAAGGGGAAGTTATTCTTGAGGATGTGCCACCTGTTGCTTTGCAGTCCAGGTCATCTCTTCCACTGACAGATCCCATTACATTAACTATTGAAGAAAGGCTCAATGTTGTAGTTAGGAGAGATGGTTTGGTACACACACACACACACACACACACACACATGTATCATATATCTTCCTGTGTGATTAATATGCTTTTTCATTGTCGTACTTTAGTGGCTTCTGAAGATCAAGCATACCTTCAACCTGGATAACTGGCATTAGTGTAAATTAAACAAATGCCTTTGACTGATTAATATTTCAAGAAAATACTCAATTTTCCGAATTGCAGAATCTAACATCAGAATGTTTTTGTTCCTTGATGTTTTTACCTTCTGTTTATTTTATTGATTTAGATGCTTAGATGCATTTACATCACCAATATAACTACAAAGAAACTCATGATTTTAGGTCCATTCTTTCTCTCTTTGCTAATCAGTCGTATATCTGAGAAGGTTTTTGATAATTACTTTTTCCTGTTTGCAACCTATGTGATCTTGCTTTTTTAATTCTCAAGGAGCACCATTGTTGAAAATGTATTTATACGTTCTTATTTGACAGGTTAACTGACATGTTGGTTCCCATGTTTTTAAGAAACACCTATTACAAAAAAGGCATTCTTATTTGACAGGTTAACTGACATGTTGGTTCCCATGTTTTTAAGAAACACCTATTACAAAAAAGGCCTTCCTTTGTAACTGCATTTCTCTCATAAAGGTTCCCATGTTTTTAAGAAACACCTATTACAAAAAAGGCCTTCCTTTGTAACTGCATTTCTCTCATAAATTGCTACTTTGGCTGCATTTTGTTTTTTTTAAGGTTTGACTTCATGGAGTGTTTATCCTTTCGTATCCTATTGTAATTTAATTTATTCTAAGTGTTAATATTCAATTTTCATATGAAGTAAGAAATAGGGTTTTCTTTGTAATCAATAAGCGATGATGGATAACCAGTAACAATCTCAGTAGCCACCTTGCATCATCTTGTCGTAGTTAGTCTTATTAGTGGTACATGATAATGTCGGTTCCTATGTATGTTTTGTTTACTTTACATACTAAGAAAGTTTGTTGTCAGTTGAAAGGCTTGTAGATTTCTGCATATTTTCTTCTAATTACTTACAAAGAAAGTTTGTTGTCAGCTGAAAAATTGTAGATTTTTGCAATTCAGATTTCCTGTCTGTCTCCAAAAATTTGTGGTGGAGGCTTTCTTGTAGTAGAAGGATTTGTTCTCTTCGTTGCGTCTGTGAAGATTTTTCCTTTTTGTTTCGAAAATTTTATTTATATGTGGATTATTGAGTAATTTGTATATGATGTGCATTTTTCAGATCGAAAACCAAGAGATGCCTGGTCTCAGCTTCAAGACTCATCCTAACATTAACAAAGAGTTGTTCAACAACAATCATATAGTAGGCCTGAAGGATCCAAACAGGCCTTTCCCCACTGGTCAAAATGATGTTAATTTGATCAAGTGGAGAATCCAAGGCATGAATGAGGCCTCTTTGCCATTGACTGGTGGGTTTACATTTTGAAGTCATCTTATCTTAAACAATGTTCATTTTAACATTTTCAGCACTGCTTACTGATTGATTGTATCTATGTGCAGTTAACTGCTGGCCCACTGTTTCTGGAAGTGAGACGTTTGTTAATATTGAATATGAAGCTTTTGAGACGTTTGACCTGCAAAATGTTTTGATAACTATACCTCTTCCTGCAAGTCGAGAACCACCTAGTGTAAGGCAGATAGATGGAGAATGGAGGTAAAGTTGATGTTTCCTTTTTGCAAATGTAAATAGATTCTGAATTCTGATTCTTTGTTTTCTTCTTCATAACCATTTTGCACTGGACATGCCTCCCACCGGTTGAGTGGAGTGTGTGTATGTGTTGTGTGATTGCTTTAGAATGAAAAAGCCAGAATTAATATTTTAACCACTTTAGAATTTTACGAATCCTTCACCATTTCTCTAACTGATGAGGAAAATGTATTTATCCTGTTTGGAGTTTAATATCTTAAGTCTTCAGTACATTATTTACTTTGGCCAAGATTGTAAGGTAGAACAATGGCCATTTAGATTCAGATATATTTAGATAATATCAGTTTTTCCACCAGTGGTTCTGCCCTTTGATATCTCAATTTCAGGTATGATGCAAGGAATTCGACATTGGAATGGTCAATCCTTCTCGTCGATAATACTAACCGGAGGTAATATAATCATGTCTAGGAATAAATCTGTAATGGGAGCTCTTTCAGAGATTTATTTTTTAAATGATTCATTCAACTTGTCATTGTTGACAGTGGATCCATGGAGTTTGTCGTGCCTCCTGCTGATCCATCTTCATTCTTCCCCATCGCAATCAAGTTTACCGCGGCCAACACTTTCAGTGACGTAAAGGTTGCACACTTGACTATCTGCTTTTATTGCATTTGTCATATAGCATTCACTGTATTTCCTTGGTAATGTAATTCTTGTGAAGTAGCAGTTGTTCTTAACATCTTTATATCCTTTAGTAGGAGTTATTAGGACCTCTCCCGTCTTTTTTTTTTACAGTAAAACGTATCCTGTTCCATCTCTCCAATCACCTTTTTTGAGAGCCACAAAGTTAATTTTTCCTTCTAATATTTTTATGTTGTGTTTTGTGATTGGACCACTATTGACTGTTCCAAGTAAGCACATTAGATCTAATATGAAGCTCCCATCCATTTGGGTTTATTCTATTAGATATAATTATTAGGGTTCATTCCATTAAATTTGGTAAACTTTATTATTTATTCCCCTGTAAAGATTTGTTTGTTAGTTCCTACTTCTTTGAACGTCCCCCTTCATGCAATTATATAAAGCATCACATGCAATTTGCAAGCTTCTCCATATGATCAATAATCCTTGAAAGATATCTTTGCTGCAGTTTGTAACTCATTGTTCTTGTTTTAGCTTGCTTTAACCATCAATATACACACCATTGTCTTCCTTTGACTGTGGATTTTCTCAATGTTTGTTTTTTGGTTTGAAAACTGCGGATTAAAGAGGCGGAGATGGCGATTTGGAAGATGTCCATGTATTTTAACACGAGCTTTGTAATTTTTTGCAGGTTGGAAATGTCATACCGATTAGAGGTGGTCCTCCTCCAAAGTATGCTCAAAGGATACAGCTGATAGCAGACAATTACGAGGTGGTTTGAGTTTAGAAGGGGAAAATGGTTACCCATTTGACATTGGATGTGGATTTGATTTAAGCTACGAGGGTTTTCCTTTTTTGTTCAGGATGTGGATCATTATGTTTCTTGCTGTTTCTTTTAGTTTTGGAAGAGTGGAAGATATACATGGAAGTTTTTTATGTGCTTAACGGAGTCTCAATGTTCTGTTTGTTGCACACTTGTTGTGAGATCCATTATTCTATCTCAGAGTACGTCGACTTTACCACTCTGTTTTCTTGATTGTACATTTTTCTAAATCGTGTGATAGTATACCTCTTTCGTTATCTTTTGTCGTTATCCTTTCTGATTTGGTAAGGGTATAGAGGAAAGTAGAGAATAGGGAGTCAAGAATAGGGGTGCGAGACCGTATCCGAGGAAATATCCGTAACCGTATCCGTTAGGATACGAATATGTTTACTCAAATCTATTACCGATAGGATATGATTACGGATATGGTTTTGTAGCGAAATATCTGTATCCGTATCTGAAAATATCCGAATACATATTGGTCATACTCTTACGATAGTTTCGATTATTAGATTATGGATTTGTGGTTAATTTTGATGATCAAAATGTCTAATCTTAGCTTTTCAATCATAATGAACATATTAACGAACTCTTTTTGTATCACATGATTATAATTTTCTGAATACTATCTAGTTTTCTCATATCCTTTTTGTATCCGCATGCATATCCGTTTATATATTCGCATCTATATCCGTAACCGTATCCGATTTTGACGGATATGGATATGAATTGTTTTTTACCGATGTATATCCGTATCCGAGATGGGTAAGCGGATATGGATATGGTAAGTGCCATATTCGAGCCGTATCCGCTCCGTTAACACCCCTAGGACTCAAGAGTGTTATGGGACGAAAGAGCAAAATTTACTTTTAGACTTCTTGTTTGGTTGAAGGTCGAGGGCAGGAAGGTACTTGACCTTTTAAGGTTTCTTTTCTCCCTCCTATATTGCTCTGAAGAGTTCAAACTCAGAAAAGCCCTTGTGGTTTGTGTTGTAAATCTATTAAGCTCTCAATATATTATTTCAATCTATTAAGCTCCTATATTTTTTATTTTGAATCTATTTAGCCTCCATGGTGTTTCTCTATAACTAAAAAGGGTATTTTTGACTTATTGAATCTATTTTTTTAGTTATAGAGAAACAACATGGGGGCTAAATAGATTCAAAATAAAAAATATAGGGGCTTAATAAATTGAAATAATAGAATGATGGTTTAATAGATTTACAGGGCAAACCAGAAGGGCTTAAGATTGAAATAATAGAATGATGGTTTAAACTCTTGCTCTGAAAGAATTGTTATTGCGACCATAGGAGGAATAGTTTCTGTTTCTGACCCTTAATTGCCGCTTTATTTCCCTTCACTTCTCTCAAAACACCTTCTTAATAAAGGTTATTTCTTCTTCAGTGTTTCATTTCACCTTGCTACAGCCCTTCTCTCTCTCTCTCTCTCTCTCTCTCTCTCTCTCTCTCTCTCTCTCTCTTCTAATTCACGAGGATGGTGGGATTAGTGTTAGCATGGAGACCAGCTGTGGTGCTTTGCTCACAGAATTAGAGGTTCTCTCTCTCAAGATTTTTATTTCTGAAAAAGTAGGAAATTGTCTTTCTTTTAATAAAATTTAACCAAATGTATGTTTGATAGTTCATTAACTGTTTGATTCGGTAGTCCTATTAATTGAACTTATTGTAAATATTTATTATGTAAATATTTTTTACAAATGATACCCATGATACACATATAAATATTTATTAACTGTTTGATTTGGTTTATAAATGAATAGGATTTCTATTTTGATTCTATCGGCCGCCTCCTTCAGATCTGATCAAGTGATTGGCTCCTCACTCCTCTTTCTTTCCCTCTCCTCCTTCAGATCCGACTCCAATTGAATCTCCAATTGAATTCTTGGAGCCAAAGAGCAGTAATTGCAGTAAATAAAAGAAATACGAGAAGATGTTTAGTTTCAAAACAATGGTTAGCCCTCTAAATCCCACAAAATTATTTTCAATACCAAAAATAGAGTTTTACATTAAACACATTTTTCAATGAATTTATCATTTAACCTTTATTTTTAAATTAAATATGAAAATAGATACACGTGCAAAGCACATGCATCATACTAGTTTTATTTTAACTAGTATTTAGACTCGTGCAAAGCACGTTTTTTAAAATATATTCTGCAAATATTGATCATGTTAACAAAATTAAGTATTCTGCTATAAATAATTTTAATATTCTGCTATAAATTAAGTATAGTGGTAGAAGCGAATCGAAAAATTAATTAATATTTAGTTATTATTCGCTTATATATTAGATCAAGTTCGAAGCGATATTTCATTTACTACTAAACAAATAATTTTTAGTATTTGGTTTATAAATGAATAGAATTTAACCTAAGATATGTTTGATTCAGTAATTTACTAATTCGATAAATTTTTAATATAATTTAACCAAATGTATGTTCGATAGTTCATTAACTGTTTGGTTGGTTCAATAGTCCTATTAATTGAACTTATTGCAAATATTTATTATGTAAATATTTTTTTACAAATGATACCCATGATGCCCATAATAAATATGTTCGATTTGGTTTATAAATGAATAGAATTTCTCTTTTGATTCTATCGGCCTCCTCCTTCAGATCTGATCAAGTGATCGGCTCCTCACTCCTCTTTCTTTCCCTCTCCTCCTTCAGATCCGACTCCAATTGAATTATTCTAGGGCTAGATTTTTCACGGTTCTCCATATACTTGTTGTTCAAAACTCCCTCCAAGCTCGTCGTTCCTTGAATCTCGTCGTCGACTCCTCCCTCGAAGCTCGTCGTCGACTCCTCCCTCGAAGCTCGTCGTCGTTCACGGTTTTAGGTAAATATTTTTTTTTTTCAGATTTGTTGAATTAGCCTTTAAAGATTGATAATTTCATTCTTTAATGCTCTCAGTTCTATCATCTTTCATCTTTCATGCGATTGATCTCGAAGACAGACGGTAGGTGGTGCAGCGTCAGAGTTTTGTCACCAAGGTCTGATCTTTTAGCCTATTACCGGTCTCATGGGAAAATTTGAGTTTGTTTGTTATTTATGAGGAATTACTTATTTGTGTTTGATTATAGTTTTGTTTATTTTTCCTAAACTGGGAAGATACTAACTTTTTTTAGCTTTTATTGCATATAAACTTATTTACAGTTTTTTAGCTTTTATTGCATGTTAACTGTTTCTGGAGGTATATTTGCTTAGTATTCGTTGACACGTAGACATGCAAATGCCAGACTTCTTTTTAAACCGCTGCATTCTGGTACCTGGATATTGAAATTAGGGCTAACATTGTTATCACCAGATTATTTGTGCATAATACAATTTTTTTCCTTGAATTTTTGGTTAGATTTCTGTGTAGAAAAATCTATCAAAGTTATTCTATATGTTGAAATTTGTGGTGATTTTTGTTGTCTAGATTTTTTAGAAGTTTTGATTATTCAGAATTTGTTCTATATGTTACATGTAAATCATTAATTCTATTTTCATATTTAATTGGCCGTAGCCTATATGTGCACTAGTTGATAATTGTCAACATACGGAAATGATAATGACATCGTTATAGTTTCTATTTTAACCAACCAAGTTCAATTATGCAACTCGTATAAATTTTTTAAACATTATGTTTTGTATATGGTGCGTTTTTCTATATTTTGTATATGTAATTGAGAAAGTGTACACTGATTTCTAGAATTGGCGATTATTATTCGTCGCACTTGAGAATAGGGATTCTTTCTTATTATTTGTGGAGTACATACGCATTGCAACATAGGCATAAGTGGCAAATTTATATGTATTGTCCTAATGTCCTCTATTGTTCATATTTATCTTAATAATTTTTGTAAGTTGTTATCCTTATCTTAATCTGATGTGATATTCTGTTCTATTTTTAATTAACATAATACATTTGTATATCATGTCTAATAATTTCTGTAATTGATCTTAATCTGATATTTATTACAGGTAAATTTATGGAGTTGATGATATATTAAAGATATATTGATAACGGTAAGCAAAGACTTTTATAAATTACCAAATAAGATCATACTCCCCTTAAAAGCACGAGTTCGGAAAAATCTTTCTATGGTTAATATTACCCTTCACTATTTTAAATATTTCATTTATATCTTAATCTATCCTAATCATAATCATCTTATCCTGGTCCTACTTGAACTATCTATAGCTTAACAATTTAAAAAATTAATATTATTAAAATATATAAAACATCTTCATGGTATTAGTTTGTTAAGATAAAGAAATTATACGTCGTTAATGTACTATATAATACATAAAGTATTGCAACAAACCTAAAAAGTTTTAAAATTACACAAAATACCTTAAAAATTTTAAAATTATAAAAACTATCCCGACGTCTAAAAACTTAAAACAACATGAAATTAAGAAATTAACAGCAGTTTGCGAAGAATTTAAAATTTACGGTTAACATCTCAAAATCTCAAAAAGTTAAAACTTGCAAACACTCAAAAGTTAAAATTACAAATAAGCACTTGAAATTCTAAAATTTTAAAACTTGCAAACAACATAGATGAATTCAAGGGATTACCATAATGCACCTGAAAATTTTTGTCATTTCAAAACTTAAAACAACAAACATGAAATCAAGAAATTAATAGTAGCATTCGAAGAATTTAAAAATTTCAATTAACACCTTCAATGTCCCAAAAATTATAGAAACACCCTCAAAAGTCCAAATTATAAAAATAACCCTAAAAGTTTAAATTTTTTAAAATTTGCAAACAATAAAAGATGAATTCAAGATATTACATCATGCACGCACCTAAAATTTTAAAATTTACCGAAATTTACCTGAAAGTTACAAAAATTGTAGAAAAAACTCTTTTAAAATTCAAGAGATTACCCTAAGTTTTAAAAATTTATAACCAATACACATAAAATCTGAAAACTATTGGTAGATTGCTAAAATTTGAATTTTAAAAAAAAATTAATCTACAATTTTAACACTTGTAAAAAGCAGCCTCAAAATTTTAGAGTTGTAAGAAATATCGTGATATTTAAAAATTACCATCGACACATGAAACATAGAAGTTACAACTACCAAACTTAAAAGTAATTTAAAAAAAATCCTAAAGTTTTAAAAGTTACAAATCACACCCTCAAATTTCAAAACCACAAAAAATGCTGAAATTTTAAAACTTAGCAAAGAAAAGAACAATTGTTAGGTTTATTACCATACAGTAATATATAAACTATATATATATTACTAGTATCAATATTATAATGATATATATATCCTATACCATACTATTATATATATGCATATATACAGTTAATATACTACTAACTTACTATACTAACTATATACGCTATATATTTATATATTATACTATATATACTATATATAGTATTATAAATAAAGTGAGTATAGATATACTATCAGTATACACTTTAATGATATCATCTGGATCCTTGAACATGATGTGACACAATCCCCACCACTACTATTATAATATAGATATATATACTAGCTATTATATTATAATCAATGATGTGACACAATCCCCATGGTGGGGATTATACTTTTCTTTGCTAAGTTTTAAAATTTCGTATGTTTGGTTACATGAAGTCTGATATAATTTAAAAAATAAATGTTGTGTATGCAAATATATAACATTATATTGATCCCAGTTTTATACACATCTATTTCATAAATTTGATATTTAACCACGTGCATTGCACATGCACGTGGTTAAATAGCGATTATATGTCTTCTTTTAATTGGTAACCAAATGATTTTATGAACATAAAAGTGCTTTGGAAGAACATAAGGTAAGGGGTATTTTCATCATTAAGGGAACAAATTTCAAGGCCCTTAAGATTTGAGGGACTTACAAGCAACTTAAAAGATTTTAGGGACTCATATATAACTATTAAATATCTGAGGGACTAATAGTTAAATAACCCCTAGAGAAGACCTAGATTCCCAAACAGCGTGGTCGAGAGAAAGCCGTCTATAAATAGCAAAGATAGGAGTGCCGCCGACATCAAACCCCGTGTATGCTGTTCTAACCCTAAAATTTTTGTTTGCCTATTTAAAGCCCCCAAATCCAGTGCCCCAATTCCATTCATCGATCGATCAACGGTTTCCTTTTGGTCCTTGTAGCTGTTCTCTCCACCCGATCAACTAATTTATTGATTGTGAGTTTTCTTGTAGCTGTTCTTGGTGCTGGAGCTGAGGAAGGAGATGGCGAAGCTTTTTTTGATAAATTTGATATTGGTATTCTTATCTTTGCTTGGATTTTGTCATGGAGTATTCTCCCTGAAGAAATGTTGAATGCCTTAACTTGCAGGAATTTGATGCTAAAATTTGATGTTGGTATTCTTATCTTCGCTTGGATTTCGTGTTCGTGTTAGTTGATGTTGGTATTCTTATCTTCGCTTGGATTTCGTGTTCGTGTTAGTTCTAACTCAGTTCATGTTAGCTTTAAATAGTTAGTGTTCTAAATTTGATTTGCATATAAGTTCCCGTGAGTAATGTCATAGATTAAACAATCTTGATAGCTGTCCTTTTCTATTTTGATTTGCATATAAGTTGGCTCCATAACCCGTATAATAGGTATCCAAACCGGTGGTTCTGGGACTAAATTCATACCACAAAAGCTCTCATTCTCTACCCACTGATTTTTTTGTCTTTCCTGTTCCATGATCACATACTAATTTGGATTTAGCATTTTTATTTTATATGCTTTTCAAAATTAGTGCAGCATTATTCACAAAAACCGACGCCCAAATTCTGCTGTATCACGGCTGTTCCTCTCTTCGCTTCTTACAAATCCTTGTCGTGTTATTAACAACGTCGACACGATCACCGGAATCACCATATTCTTTAGATAATTAATTCACTAATCAATGCATAATGAGCATTTGGGAGTTTACAGCATCTGCAGAAAGCTTTCTTGTGCCATTTCGTAACTATCACAATCCTGTGATTTGTTGTTAGATACTTGTTTGGTTGGAGCCCACGGTACCCAAATGAGAGAGGCGCACAGAGAGTGGTTAAAATTAGAACTAATGGGGTTAAAATTGGAACTAACTTGTTATAACATAAAACTTAGTATAAAATATATCTAACTCGGTATAAAATAGAACTAATGTGGTATAAAATAGAACTAATTTAGTATAAAAATAAAACTAACTCTGTAGCGTGTTAGTTCTAATCTACACAGTGTTAGTTCTATTCTGTAGCGTGTTAGTTCTAATCTACACAGTGTTAGTTCTATTCTGTAGCGTGGTAGTTCTAATCTACACAGTGTTAGTTCTATTCTATAGCGTGTTAGTTCTAATCTATACAGTATTAGTTCTATTCTGTAGCGTGTTAGTTCTAATCTGCACATTGTTAGTTCTATTCTATACCATGTTAGTTCTAATTTATACCACATTAGTTCTATTTTATACCATGTTAGTTCTAATTTATACCAAGTTAGTTCTAATTTATACCACGTTAGTTCTATTTTATACCGCGTTAGTTCTAATTTATACCAAGTTAGTTCTATTTTATACCACATTAGTTCTAATTTTAACCATATTAGTTCTATTTTATAACAATTAGTTCTAATTTATAACAAATTAGTTCTAATTTTAATCACGTTAGTTCTAATTTATACCACGTTAGTTCTAATTTATACCAAGTTAGTTCTAATTTATATAATGTTAGTTCTATTTTATACCAAGTTAGCTCTAATTTATACAATGATAGTTACGAAATAGCACAAGAAAGCTTTCTGCATATGTTGCAAACTCCCAAATGCGCATTATGCATTGATTAGTGAATTAATTATCGAAATAATATGGTGATTTCAGTGATCGTGTCGACGTTGTTAACAACATGACAAGGATTTGCAAGGAGCGAAGAGAGGAACAACCGTGATACAGCAGAATTTGGGCGTCGGTTTTTGGAATAATGCTGCACTAATTCTGAAAAGCATATAAAATAAAAATGCTATTCCGTAACTATCACAATCCTGTGATTTGTTGTAATTATTTGTTGTTAGGTACTTGTTTGGTTGGAGCCCACGACACCCAAATGAGAGAGGCGCACGGAGAGTGGTTAAAATTAGAACTAATGGGGTTAAAATTAGAACTAACTTGTTATAACATAAAACTAACTTAGTATAAAATAGATCTAACTTGGTATAAAATAGAACTAACATGGTATAAAATAGAACTAACTTAGTATAAAAATAGAACTAACTCTGTAGCGTGTTAGTTCTAATCTACACAGTGTTAGTTCTATTCTGTAGCGTATTAGTTCTAATCTACACAGTGTTAGTTCTATTCTGTAGCGTGTTAGTTCTAATCTGCACAGTGTTAGTTCTATTCTGTAGCGTGTTAGTTCTAATCTACATAGTGTTAGTTCTATTCTGTAGCGTGTTAGTTCTATTCTGTAGCGTGTTAGTTCTAATCTATACAGTGTTAGTTCTATTATGTAGCATGTTAGTTCTAATCTGCACAGTGTTAGTTCTATTATATACCATGTTAGTTCTAATTTATACCACGTTAGTTCTATTTTATACCGCGTTAGTTCTAATTTATACCAAGTTAGTTCTAATTTATACCATGTTAGTTCTATTTTATACCGCATTAGTTCTAATTTACACCATGTTAGTTCTATTTTATACCACGTTAGTTCTAATTTATACCAAGTTAGTTCTAATTTATACCACGTTAGTTCTATTTTATACCGCGTTAGTTCTAATTTATACCAAGTTAGTTCTAATTTATACCACGTTAGTTCTATTTTATACCGCGTTAGTTCTAATTTATACCAAGTTGTTAGTTCTATTTTATACCGTGTTAGTTCTAATTTATACCAAGTTAGTTCTATTTTATACCACGTTAGTTCTAATTTTAACCATATTAGTTCTATTTTATAACAAGTTAGTTCTAATTTATAACAAATTGGTTCTAATTTTAACCACGTTAGTTCTAATTTATACCATGTTAGTTCTAATTTATACCAAGTTAGTTCTAATTTATACAATGTTAGTTCTATTTTATACCAAGTTAGTTCTAATTTATACAATGATAGTTACGAAATGGCACAAGAAAACTTTCTGCAGATGTTGCAAACTCCCAAATGCGCATTATGCATTGATTAGTGAATTAATTATCGAAAGAATATGGTGATTTCAGTGATCGTGTCGACGTTGTTAACAACACGACAAGGATTTGCAAGGAGCGAAGAGAGGAACAGCCGTGATACAGCAGGATTTGGGCGTCGGTTTTTGGAATAATGCTGCACTAATTCTGAAAAGCATATAAAATAAAAATGCTAAATCCAAATTAGTATGTGATCATGGAACATGAAAGACAAAAAAAATTAGTGGGTAGAGAATGAGAGCATTTGTGGTATGAATTTAGTCCCAGAACCATCGGTTTGGATACCTATTATACGGGTTATGGAGCCAACTTATATGCAAATCAAATTATTTAAGTGTTTTGCTTCCTTGAGGACATCGCACGCGGCATTTCACGGCTTGAGCACGACTCCAGCTTTCTAATTAGTTCTAACTCATGTTAGGTCTAACTGGGTTTATGTTAGTTCTAACTCAGTTCCTGTTAGTTCTAACTTAGTTCTTGTTAGTTCTAAATTAGAACACTAACTATTTAGAGCTAACATGAACTAAGTTAGAACTAACACGAACATGAAATCCAAACGAAGATAAGAATACCAACATCAAATTTTAGCATCAAATTCCTGCAAGTTAAGGCATTCAACATTTCTTCGGGGAGAATACTCCATGACAAAATCCAAGCAAAGATAAGAATACCAATATTAAATTTATCAAAAAAAGCTTCGCCACCTCCTTCCTCAGCTCCAACACCAAGATCAGCTCTTAAAATTTCAAACCCAACATGCATCTCTTCGCCATCTTGACTAACAGTCTCCTTAACAAGCAGTGGCTTCTCATTAAATTCCAAAAAAAGAGTGGCCTTGTGCCTGTAGCCCCTTCATTTTTCACTTTTCTTGGGCATCATGCACTCTTTTCTCTTGGTCATCCTCCTCCAGCCTACCATACTATAGGGTTCAAAAGTGGCAGGCGCAGCGGCGAACTCCGGCATAGTCGAGGGCGAGACGGGGAGCGGCGACGAGCTACCGCGACGAGGTCGGGCGGAGGAGAGGAGGGGAGGCGAACTCGGGGGAGGCTTGGGTGCCTGGGCGGAGGTGGCGACGGCGAGGAGGACGAGGGCCAGGGCGACTAGCTTAAAAAAGCCATTGTTTTTAAAGAGAGAGAAGAGAGAGAGAGAGAGAGAGAGAGAGAGAGAGAGAACTGGGTTTGAAAGATTGAGGAGAGGGGATAATGTTATTTTGGGGATTTTAGCTTAGCTGACATGTAATAATTGTTAAAAAGGGGCTGCAGCACAAAATGTCACACTTCAAGAGGCTGAAGCACATGAGGTAAACTAGGAGGGGCTGCAGCACATGAAGTTTCTGTTTTGAAAAATTATTTAAGGACATAAAATATGAGACCAATAAAGGGGACAAATGAGGTGTTCCCCTCCTATTGGATAATGAATTGGCCATCATTAATGATGGCCAACTCATTATCCAATAGGAGGGGGACACATCACTTGTCCCCTTTATTAGTCCCATATTTTGGGTCCCTGTAGCAAAGCTCTTCTGTTTTTGGGGCCTGGACATATTTTTCCCTTAAAATTATTATAAATAAAATAAATTATTTCTAACAAATGTTAATTTAAAAATAATATATTCATAATAATATAATAGCCACTCTCTCTCGCCTTCCTCTTCAATTCCCGTCAGCCCCAGGCCACCGTCCTCCGTTGCCTCCTCAATCCTCGAACACCCCTCACCTCCCTCCACCACAGAACCGTCTTCCCCGGCGAACAGCACCACAGATTCGTCGTCGTCGTCAGATCTCTCCCGCACTCGTCGCCGATTCGAGTTCGCTGCATCCGAACAGCTACCGCCCTCCCTCAGCCACTGAAGTCCGCCGCCGTCCTCCTTTTCCCTCAGTTCGAAGACAACGCAGGGAAAGGCAAAATTCGGATCTGTTTTGTCTTCGGATCTGGTTTGTTTTGATCGGACCCGATTCCGAACTCAGTTGGATCTGATTTTTCAGCCCGACGATGGTATCAGTTTCTCTCTATATTTTTCCGTTAATTTCATTTATTAGGTAATTGCATGAGTAATACAGATCTCTAAATTCTTATCGTATATTCGCCGCTTAGCTCATACTCGTGAGTTGAGAGTAACTGATGAACGTGTGATTGTTGCAATTTTGACATTGATTTTAGAACTTGTGCCCGATAACGAATATTGCGATTAAATTGATTGAGAATTGAAATTATTTATAACTATTGATGCGAATCTTGTTAAATCAATCTGTGTCACATTAATCGTTTTGAATTTAATTTCCTGCCGAAGATCATGAATTTTGGCGAAACGGTGCGTTATTCGATTTAGATTGCTGATCCTGATACCCCATGCCCTGTTTGGCATCAGGCATGAACAGTAAATGATGAAATTTGGCATTGGCCCACTAAAATACCCTTGGTCCCAAAGCAAATTTCAGATGCTAAAAATGAAAATAAATTGAAAAGTGGATGGCAAATGCGGAAGAAAAACAAAAAACCCATTCAGCTTTCATACAACGTAAATTATTGTTTCAAGTTTGAGAAAAAGAATTTTTTCCTTATTTCTGAGAATTTCTCTATGTGCAGGTGGTCCTTGCAGCTTCTATCATTAGCAAGACTGGCAAAGGTGGGTTTTCTGTCTGTCTCTTAATGGAAGTTACATGCTTTCTCTTATTTTCTTATACTTGTTAATGTGTTAGTTTATGAGTTATATAATGAAAAATTTCACTTCTGTACGTGGCAAAGACACACTGTACCATTGAAAAGGACATTTATGACTTTTAAAATTTAAGGAATTTAATCAATATGTGCTTATTCCAAGTAAAAAGTGGAATCCTATAAATATCTATTCGTTTCCTTTTTATATAGTAGGCCAGAAATTGAAACCACCATATTCTGTTGTTGCGATTTCCTATCCTCGTCAATATTGCAAATTTGTTGGCATGCACCGAATCTTCATTTTTTTGTTACATTTTCCTTCTATTTCTATGGTGTAGGCATCCTTTTGAGTACTTTTTTAGTCTGCGTTCTAACCCGATCTTCAACCTAGGACCTCCTGTAGCACCAATTTGGTTTTTCTCAGTTACCCATGTCTTTAGGAGGAATTCTTGTGAGTTTATAAAGCTAATAAAGTACACTTATTTTTCATCAAATGATCTTTTTGACACATTATTCTCTTTAATCTCCTACATCTACATTTCTTTCCCAACATTTTAAGTACAAAAAACATTCACTATATCATGCACAAATCTTTATTGTCTTGAAACTTTGTTCAATATTCTCTCATCTGTAACTGCTAAAAATTAAGATCAATTTGTTCTCTGAAAAAAATTGAGCTACCTAACTAAGTTTGTAACTCTTGCTGCTATGGAGATTTCTTTTCTACATTACACGCATTGCTTAATCATATTGCAAATCTGCTAGCATAACATAAGAATGGGATTGGGTGTCTATTGTGTCAGTTTAATCCTGGGGCCATCGTCAAATCTCATTTACCCAATTTTACCTGTTGATTATTAGAAAATGATTCAACTGAACTCGCATTTCATTTTGGCTGAACTGCAGCACTTGTTTCGAGACAGTTTGTTGATATGTCCAGAATAAGGATAGAAGGACTGCTTGCAGCATTTCCCAAGTTAGTGGGAACTGGAAAGCAACACACTTATGTAGAGACTGAGAACGTTCGCTATGTTTACCAACCAATTGAACTACTTTATCTGCTGCTTGTGACCAACAAACAAAGTAACATTCTTGAAGACCTGGATACACTGAGACTGCTATCCAAACTGGTATACTTCTTTTGCCTTACACTGAGTTTTAAATTTTAATTATAGCTCGAGCACTATTCCATGCATTCATGATATTGTAATTTCTCCTTGCATTTTGTTGTTGTATCACAATGATAATTTCTCAAAAGAAGTTTTTAGTAACTGCTAAACTCTTTTTAAATTTTATAAACATGTGTATATATGTGTAGTGTTCTATATACTTCTGCTAGTTGCTTGTTTGGAACTGCAAGAGAAGGAAAAATTTTCCTTTCATTTGTTTAGAAGTCAACCCAAAGACTAATGTTGATTATGACATAGGATGCCCAAATCAAAACAGTAGCAGCAGATGTTACAGTAAGATTTGCAAAATGATTTGCAGGCAGGTATTCTGCGAGTCATTTTACTGAAAACACTTTTCTGCAACTTAACTTCTTGTTGCAGAACTCTTTCAGCAGCAGGAACTAGGAAGAAAGCATTGCTTCAAACATTGCCTCCGTTGTTCTAGGATTGCTGCAGCTATACATGCTGCAAAACATGCACACCCTGCATGAAATTGTTTAGAAACTGTTGGTATTTTCATTTTTTCGGGTACTTGGTCAAGATGAGCACTTAAAAAAGTTTGTTATTGCCACATACATCATCTTATCTAGTGCGGACTAGTAAAAAGTATGCAAGCGAAGTGAGATAGTACCATATATAGAATTTCTCACTATGGTATTGAATGGAGTTTAATGTTCCTTTTTTTATCAAAAAATATAGTTGGATTTCTCCATGTTACATGTGAAGGTTAATATTGAATCATCCTTTAATCTTTTTAGGTACCTGAATATGCACCCAGTTTAGATGAAGAAGGTGTTTGCAAGATGGCTTTTGAGCTGATTTTTGCCTTTGATGAAGCTATTTCTCTTGGGCATAAAGAAAATGTGACAGTTGCTCAAGTTAAGCAGTACTGTGAAATGGAAAGTCACGAGGAAAGGTTGCATAAACTGCTCATGCAGAGCAAGATAAATGAAACTAAAGATGTCATGAAGCGGAAGGCTAGTGAGATTGACAAAAGCAAGGTATGTATTTCCATGAATATGTAATATTCCTATGTAATTTTCTAATCTTTTCAACTCACATTAGGTTGAAACTGTGGTTTGAGAATATTAATACTGATCATCTAGCCAGATCAATATATAAAAAAAATTAGTTGCTTACACAATTAATAATTGAGTGATTTTTTTCTGATTAATGATTCCGAATCAGTCGGTTTAGGACAAGGACATCCTCAATATTCTGGATAAAGGTTTATGATATCTGATCAACTATACTAATCGAATTCACATATACTCTATTTTCCGCTAGACTTTCAGGATGTAAAAAATGAACTTTGTTGTTCATGAGATTCGCTTGTTATTATTATTATTATTATTTTCTTCATGAGATTCACTTGTTATCATACATAATAGAATGACCATTCTATGCCACTGACGTCAAGTAAGAGCTATAAATTATTTTCTAAAATTTATTCTTGGTTGTTCACCTTCATGGAATGTTACCATGGAAATTGAATCATGAGATATCAGGCGTTTAACTTGAACCTTGTTTTCTTAGGTTAAATCTGTGGTCACTAAAGCTAATGTTGCCAAGAATCATGCCTTGCAGTTACATGCCAAGTCTTCCTCTTGGCCATAGGTCACCTGACCAGAACTCTTGTTCTCAAACTCACGTAGGCTTACTAATCAAAATGATGTACTATTAAATTATGTTTTTCACCTCATTCTCGGCCATATTGGTAACTAAATTCTCTACTAAGAAAAAACTAAATTGGTTTCCATGGTTTATCATCTATTTCTGCCTGGCCATCACAAGATGCTGTTTCATCTTCTTCCTCCACCAGCATCATTTCATGTTCCTTGTTGCATAACTCATCTTTTCATTTGCTATTTAGGTTGTTCAAGTGAATCGCTAACCCACTAATATTCATAGTTCTGCAAGCACAATATAGTCACATAAATAGATGAGCTAGAGAAAGAGATGTGGATAATTAGAGAGCATCGTCTTGATCAATTGAGACTGCCTAATCATTTATGCACAGACCTTTATGTTTGACATGCACATACTATGTGAAACCCCAACAATGAAGCATGTATCTCTGGTTAATCAATTTGAATTTTAACTAAAATTTTTTTCTTATGAATCTGTGCTAATTTTGTCTTCAACAATCGTGTCGTATCCACTGCTCTACATATGTTCTAATAGTTATCTATGTTGTGTATTTGTTGCATATTTCCCTTTTATTTCAATAGCGTTTAACATTCTCTTGAAAAATGCATTGCAGAATAATGTTATGTTTATGATTTTTTTTTCATAATGTCGCAGATTGAGAAGAACAGAGGTGATAAAGGAGGATTTATGGCTATGTCAGGTCCGAGAAGAATTGAAAGTAGTTTCAGTGACATGAGTATTTCTAGCAACAGCGGCGGTTTTGGAAGTGGTTCTGGCTTCGGATTAAGCTCAGATGTGGAATCATTTTCTAGCAAGTCTAAAGGTTTCAACTCTATGACTTCTGTTTATCTCCTAAAATCATCGTTAAATTTCTTGGAAACATTCTGTTGACTTGATCTTTGCATGTAGTGACATGCTTGATAATTTTGTTTCCTTTGTCTATGTAACAAGCTTACTTGTTGGTTGTATTTTAGATTAGGGAAAAATGCTTCTAGCCCCCAAAAGTCAAGTGAACGTGCTTCCCACCCCCAAGACTTGGTCAATGGGCGTTTTACCCCTAAAAATAAAGAATCTGTTCTCTGAGCCCCCAAAACACAAAACCCAAGACATTAAAACATGTGAAGACCATAATACCCTTCTCTCTCTCTTTCTTTTTTTATTAAAATATGATGAGGGTTATTTTATTATTTTTATTTTTCTCTCTCTCTTTATCATGATGTACCAAGAGGATAGTTAAAATGATTGATGGGGATTATTTTATTATTTTTATTTTTTATTATTTTCGTTGTTTATATTGGGAGGTTGTTAAAGTTACTAGTTAATTGTTAAGGTTACGAGTTAATTGTTAATGTTACGGGTCAATTGTTAAGGTTATGAATCATCTCTCTCTCTTTCTTTTTTTATTAAAATATGATGAGGGTTATTTTATTATTTTTGTTTTTCTCTCTCTCTTTATCATGATGTACCAAGAGGATAGTTGAAATGATTGATGAGGATTATTTTATTATTTTTGTTTTTTATTATTTTCGTTGTTTGTATTGGGATGTTGTTAAAGTTACGGGTTAATTGTTAAGGTTACGAGTTAATTGTTAATGTTACGAGTCAATTGTTAAGGTTATGAATCATCACTCTCTCTTTCTTTTTTTATTAAAATATGATGAGGGTTATTTTATTATTTTTGTTTTTCTCTCTTTATCATGATGTACCAAGAGGATAGTTGAAATGATTGATGAAGATTATTTTATTATTTTTATTTTTTATTATTTTGATTGTGTATTGGGAGGTTGTTAAAGTTACGGGTTAATTGTTAAGGTTACGAGTTAATTGTTAATGTTACGGATCAATTGTTAAGGTTATGAATCCTCTCTCTCTCTATCATGATGTTTCTTTGATGATATTGAAATGATTAAAGAGGATTATTATTTTATTATTTTTGTTTTTTATTCTTTTTGTATTTTTAGAATATTCGTTGTTAAGGAAAATGGTTGGTTGTAAAGGTTATGCATTGATTGTTAAGGTTACGGGTTGGTTGTTAAGGTTAAAGGTTTGTTGTTAAGGTTATGGGTTTGTTGTGTAGGTTACGGATTTGTTGTTAAGGTTACGGGTTTAATTGTTAAGGTTACGTGTTTAATTGTTAAGGTTACGGATTTAATTGTTAAGGTTACGTATTTAATTGTTAAGGTTGTTAAGGTTACAGTTTAATTGTTAAGATTACAGGTTTAATTGTTGGTTTAATTGTTAAGGTTAGGTTTTAATTGTTAAGGTTATGGATCCCTTCTCTCTCTCCCTCGTAACCTTAACAATTAAACCCGTAACCTTAACAATTAAACCGTAACATTAACAATTAAACCGGTAATCTTAACAATTAAACCAATAAGCTTAACAATTAAACCGTAACCTTAACAATTAAACCGTAACCTTAACAATTAAACTGTAACCTTAACAATTTAAACCCATAACCTTAACAATTAAACCGTAACCTTAACAATTAAACTGTAACCTTAACAATTAAACCCGTAACCTTAACAATTAAAACCGTAACCTTAATAATTAAACCCGTAACCTTAACAATTAAACCGTAACCTTAACAATTAATAAACCGTAACCGTAATAATTAAACCCGTAACCTTAACAATTAAATACGTAAACTTAACAATTAAATCCATAACCTTAACAATTAAACACGTAACCTTAACAATTAAACCCGTAACCTTAACAACAAATCCGTAACCTACACAACAAACCCATAACCTTAACAACAAACCCTTAACCTTAACAACCAACCCGTAACCTTAACAATCAATGCATAACCTTTACAACCAACCATTATCCTTAACAACGAATATTCTAAAAATACAAAAAGAATAAAAAACAAAAATAATAAAATAATAATCCTCTTTAATCATTTCAATATCATTAAAGAAACATCATGATAGAGAGAGAGAGAGGATTCATAACCTTAACAATTGACCCGTAACATTAACAATTAACTCGTAACCTTAACAATTAACCCGTAACTTTAACAACCTCCCAATACAAACAACCAAAATAATAAAAAATAAAAATAATAAAATAATCCTCATCAATCATTTCAACTATCCTCTTGGTACATCATGATAAAGAGAGAGAGAAAATAAAAATAATAAAATAATCCTCATTATATTTTAATAAAAAAAAAAGAGAGAGAGAGAAGGGTATTATGGTCTTCACATGTTTTAATGTCTTGGGTTTTGTGTTTTGGGGCTCAGAGAACAAATTCTTTATTTTTAGGGGTAAAATGCCCATTGACCAAGTCTTGGGGGTGGGAAGCACGTTCACTTGGCTTTTGGGGGCTGGAAGCATTTTTCCCTTTAGATTATAGTACTGGACAAATTTTTAAAACCAACCTATTTGAGTTTTTATTTGCAAAAAACGACCCATTTCTAGGATATTTGTAAAAACCGACCGTGAACTCCCGTGAAACCAGGTCGGTTTTTAAAAAAAAAATTCCGAAACTTCACGGGAGTTGAACTCCCGTGAAGTTTAGCAGTTTGTAATTAATCTCCTAAACTTCACGGGAGTTGAACTCCCGTGAAGTTTCTTAGTTCAAAAAAAAAAAATTGAATTGTGAAACTTCACGGGAGTTGAACTCCCGTGAAGTTTAACAGCTTAATTAAAAGCTGCTAAACTTCACGGGAGTTCAACTCCCGTGAAGTTTCGGAATTTTTTTTTTCAAAAACCGACCTGGTTTCAGAGCTGAGGCTGAAACCAGGTCGGTTTTTGCAAATTTGTTTGAATGGGGTCGTTTTTTGGCAATAAATTCCTAAATGGGTTGGTTTTGAAAATTTGTCCTTATAGTACTTCATTCACTTTAATGACTTCTTTCTGATGACTTGTATGTTCAACGTACATTCTCTTATATAAACTCATTATGTAATAATAGTATTAAATGTAACTTATGCAAAATAGTGCAATTCATAGGAAGAGAAAAACCATTTCAAGTGGCAGTAAAATTCTTTGCTAGAAGAAATAATATCTTAATTTGCAAGATTCAGCCTGAGTTGCTGCAAAATGAATTGTTCTTCAGAGCTACATTTACATGGTATTGGTTGCAGGACTGACAATATAAACTGTGTTTTTTTGATATTCATGGGTATGGACATCACTGTTACCACTTGCAAAATGTTATGAGTTTAGTGGGATCATCAGATAATAGTTGTGAAGTTAAACCAACAACATCGTGTTGCTTAATTGAACTCGTGGAGCAACTTCCTGGAGTAGGGAGATTTGTACGTCAGTGAACAAAGAAGTATGTCTGAATTCATGTTGGTGGGTGCCTGACTCTCTCTAAACCCTTTACCCTGAGCTTTGGGATCATTAAGGATTTTGTAAATGAGTCAGCTTATCCTCAACTTTTTTTTGGGTATAGTTTCAATTCTATTCGGGTTCTCTTGTAAAATGTAATTTAATTTATAACTAAGTATAAAAACCCCAATCAAGTCCTAGACATAAAAATTTGTTTCAGTGAATCAGATTCGATTTTGATTCTTTTTCAAAGTCTATATATCATATTATGTTTGCCATTTCTATAGACCTGAAAATCTTGATTCATCTTAAATGAATGATATATTGGAACATAGTGTGTGTGGGCACTTTGTGAACAAGTGCCAAAACTCAAAATTACTTGGTATGTTTCTGTACCAGTCTTGTGCATTATTCTTATATCATACTAGTTGAGATTCATGCAAAATTACTTGGTATGTTTCTGTACCAGTCTTGTGCATTATTCTTATATCATACTAGTTGAGATTCATATATCACTTAATAATTTCATACACAACCAGTCTTGTGCATTATTCTTATATCATACTAGTTGAGATTCATATATCACTTAATAATTTCATACACAATTATACTTAGGCTTCTATGCCATTTATATTTTAAGCACCATACCTTCTTACCCACAAAACTTGTTCTCATCTTTTAGCTATTAAAACCTCAAATTATAATGTGTTTTATTATTGCTCTCTTGTTTTTCCTAAGAAGCTATCTGAAAATCCAGGTCGTCCACCTTCAACTGCGACAGCTCCCTCTAAAGGTCTTGGTATGCAGCTTGGCAAGACACAAAAGTCAAGTCAATTAATGAATTCACTCAAAGCTGAAGGGGAAGTTATTCTTGAGGATGTGCCACCTGTTGCTTTGCAGTCCCCACCCACACACACAAAACACACACACACACACACACACACACACACATGTATCATATATCTTCCTGTGTGATTAATATGCTTTTTCATTGTCGTACTTTAGTGGCTTCTGAAGATCAAGCATACCTTCAACCTGGATAACTGGCATTAGTGTAAATTAAACAAATGCCTTTGACTGATTAATATTTCAAGAAAATACACATTTTTCCGAATTGCAGAATCTAACATCAGAATGTTTTTGTTCCTTGATGTTTTCACCTTCTGTTTATTTTATTGATTTAGATGCTTAGATGCATTTACATCACCAATATAACTACAAAGAAAATCATGATTTTAGGTCCATTCTTTTTCTCTTTGCTAATCAGTCGTATATCTGGGAAGGTTTTTGATAATTACTTTTTCCTGTTTGCAACCTAGGTGAGCTTGCTTTTTTAATTATCAAGGAGCACCATTGTAGAAAATATATTTATACATTCTTATTTGACAGGTTAACTGACATGTTGGTTCCCATGTTTTTAAGAAACACCTATTACAAAAAAGGCCTTCCTTTGTAACTGCATTTCTCTCATAAAATGTTACTTTGGCTGCATTTTGTTTTTTTAAGGTTTGACTTCATGGAGTGTTTATCCTTCCGTATCCTATTGTAATTTAATTTATTCTAAGTGTTAATATTCAATTTTCATATGAAGTAAGAAATAGGGTTTTCTTTGTAATCAATAAGCGATGATGGATAACCAGTAACAATCTCAGTAGCCACCTTGCATCATCTTGTCGTAGTTAGTCTTATTAGTGGTACATGATAATGTCGGTTCCTATGTATGTTTTGTTTACATGACATACTAAGAAAGTTTGTTGTCAGTTGAAAGGCTTGTAGATTTCTGCATATTTTCATCTAATTACTTACAAAGAAAGTTTGTTGTCAGCTGAAAAATTGTAGATTTTTGCAATTCAGATTTCATGTCTGTCTCCAAAAATTTGGGGTGGAGGCTTTCTTGTAGTAGAAGGATTTGTTCTTTTCGCTGCGTCTGTGAAGATTTTTCCTTTTTGTTTCGAAAATTTTATTTATATGTGGATTATTGAGTAATTTGTATATGATGTGCATTTTTCAGATCGAAAACCAAGAGATGCCTGGTCTCAGCTTCAAGACTCATCCTAACATTAACAAAGAGTTGTTCAACAACAATCATATAGTAGGCCTGAAGGATCCAAACAGGCCTTTCCCCACTGGTCAAAATGATGTTAATTTGATCAAGTGGAGAATCCAAGGCATGAATGAGGCCTCTTTGCCATTGACTGGTGGGTTTACATTTTGAAGTCATCTTTTCTTCAACAATGTTCATTTTAACATTTTTAGCACTGCTTACTGATTGATTGTATCTATGTGCAGTTAACTGCTGGCCCACTGTTTCTGGAAGTGAGACGTTTGTTAATATTGAATATGAAGCTTTTGAGACGTTTGACCTGCAAAATGTTTTGATAACTATACCTCTTCCTGCAAGTCGAGAACCACCTAGTGTAAGGCAGATAGATGGAGAATGGAGGTAAAGTTGATGTTTCCTTTTTGCAAATGTAAATAGATTCTGAATTCTGATTCTTTGTTTTCTTCTTCATAACCATTTTGCACTGGACATGCCTCCCACCGGTTGAGTGGAGTGTGTGTATGTGTTGTGTGATTGCTTTAGAATGAAAAAGCCAGAATTAATATTTTAACCACTTTAGAATTTTACGAATCCTTCACCATTTCTCTAACTGATGAGGAAAATGTATTTATCCTGTTTGGAGTTTAATATCTTAAGTCTTCAGTACATTATTTACTTTGGCCAAGATTGTAAGGTAGAACAATGGCCATTTAGATTCAGATATATTTAGATAATATCAGTTTTTCCACCAGTGGTTCTGCCCTTTGATATCTCAATTTCAGGTATGATGCAAGGAATTCGACATTGGAATGGTCAATCCTTCTCGTCGATAATACTAACCGGAGGTAATATAATCATGTCTAGGAATAAATCTGTAATGGGAGCTCTTTCAGAGATTTATTTTTTAAATGATTCATTCAACTTGTCATTGTTGACAGTGGATCCATGGAGTTTGTCGTGCCTCCTGCTGATCCATCTTCATTCTTCCCCATCGCAATCAAGTTTACCGCGGCCAACACTTTCAGTGACGTAAAGGTTGCACACTTGACTATCTGCTTTTATTGCATTTGTCATATAGCATTCACTGTATTTCCTTGGTAATGTAATTCTTGTGAAGTAGCAGTTGTTCTTAACATCTTTATATCCTTTAGTAGGAGTTATTAGGACCTCTCCCGTCTTTTTTTTTTACAGTAAAACGTATCCTGTTCCATCTCTCCAATCACCTTTTTTGAGAGCCACAAAGTTAATTTTTCCTTCTAATATTTTTATGTTGTGTTTTGTGATTGGACCACTATTGACTGTTCCAAGTAAGCACATTAGATCTAATATGAAGCTCCCATCCATTTGGGTTTATTCTATTAGATATAATTATTAGGGTTCATTCCATTAAATTTGGTAAACTTTATTATTTATTCCCCTGTAAAGATTTGTTTGTTAGTTCCTACTTCTTTGAACTTCCCCCTTCATGCAATTATATAAAGCATCACATGCAATTTGCAAGCTTCTCCATATGATCAATAATCCTTGAAAGATATCTTTGCTGCAGTTTGTAACTCATTGTTCTTGTTTTAGCTTGCTTTAACCATCAATATATACACCATTGTCTTCCTTTGACTGTGGATTTTCTCAATGTTTGTTTTTTGGTTTGAAAACTGCGGATTAAAGAGGTGGAGATGGCGATTTGGAAGATGTCCGTGTATTTTAACACGAGCTTTGTAATTTTTTGCAGGTTGGAAATGTCATACCGATTAGAGGTGGTCCTCCTCCAAAGTATGCTCAAAGGATACAGCTGATAGCAGACAATTACGAGGTGGTTTGAGTTTAGAAGGGGAAAATGGTTAAGGATACAGCTGATAGCAGACAATTACGAGGTGGTTTGAGTTTAGAAGGGGAAAATGGTTGCCCATTTTACATTGGATGTGGATTTGATTTAAGCTACGAGGGGTTTCCTTTTTTGTTCAGGAGTTTTAACTGTGTGGATCATTATGTTTCTTGCTGTTTCTTTTAGTTTTGGAAGAGTGGAAGATATACATGGAAGTTTTTATGTGCTTAACGGAGTCTAATTCCAGGCATACCTAGTGTATTATCACCAAATTGTAAATAGACTCACTACAGTCTACTGGCCCTTTTGTTGTGAATAGACCTTCTCTAATTCCACTTGTTTGCGAATAGTCCTCCTAATTGAATTTCCCCCCTTAAAATCGTTAAAAATGTTTGATCTTATAGTTCTATTGGTAAAAATGGGCGCCCAATTATTATTTTTTTTCTTTTAAAGGAGTCAAAAAAATTCATTAAGAGGTGCTTTCACACCTGGACCAATATTATAGGATATCCACAACAAGTAGAACTATAGAGGGGTAACAAACAGAATTATGTAGGGTGTCTTTACAATTAGGTGATAATAAAGGGGGCTGTTGGCAATTAACCCTTGAGTGAAAACTAATCTTTTATTAAAGAAGAGAGCATGGGTATGGATTTAGTTCCCCTTATAATTTTATATTAACTAGTTTTTACACACGTGCAATGCACGTGATTTAATACCATGATTAAGTATTTTTGACAGTTTGTGCTTATTTTTTTCTTTAAACTCTTACATCCCAATTATTTTTTTATGTTTGTTTAAATGGGATACACCCAATTTAAATTTTCATGTTGATATTTGAATTGACAAAAAACAAATATAATTTAAAAATAATTTGAATTTTCATATTATTTTTGACCGATATGAAACTAAGCTTTATTTGAGAAAGTATAGCATTGCAAAGTGAAAAATATTAAAATAGTGTTATACAAGGAAGGTGAATATTTAAAACCAATATGACAAAATGATTGATTTAAAGTATGTTAAAACGATGCAAAAGAGAATATGAAGTTTATTCCTAATCATTGATAGACTTCATAAAAAAATATAAATTAAAGATTAATGCTAACTCTAGTATACTTTTATATGATAAAAACATCCACATAAGAATATAAAAGTACTGAAAAAAATTCATGAAACTCCCTTCTAAAGATTCCTAATTTCACTCAAAATAATTAAACTATTCTATAAAATATTCATAAAATATTGTTTTTATTTCTTCTATTTTATTTTTTATTGAGTTAAGATCAATCCTTCTTCAGGTTTATCATTTATCATTTCTCGGACAATTCTAGAGTATTGTCTTCATCATCTACATCAATTGTGACATCAGGCTAATTTTGTATTTTTTATGCTATTATCTTTCCTAGGCTCGTTAATTTTTTATCATCTCATTTAACTTTACAAAGAAGTCAAATGTACTTATGATGTTCAACACAAACTGCTCAAAATATAGACTTTGATTTTTTTCTATTTCAATGAGAATAAATATTAATTTCATATATATAAAATTCTTTGTGTTCCTAATTTATTACTTAAATAAATTAGAAGCTATCTCTTTATTTTCCTCTAAAATGAATTCTTCTGATGTGCATCCAATAAGAATTTCTGTTATTTCAATAATATTACCTTTGCTCTATCCCATATATATATATATATATATATATATATATATATATATATATATATATATATATATATATATATATATATATATATATATATATATATATATATATATATATATATATATATATATATATATATATATATATATATATATATATATATATATATATATATATATATATATATATATATATATATATATATATATATATATATATATATATATATATATATATATATATATATATATATATATATATATATATATATATATATATATATATATATATATATATATATATATATATATATATATATATATATATATGAAAAATACTAAACAATTACACTTTTCTTTGCCAAATTTTAAAATTTTAGCCCATTTTTGTGGTTTTGAACTTTGAGGGTGTGATTTGTAATTTTGAAAGAGTTTTTAAAAAAATTTACTTTTAAGTTTGGTAGTTGTAAATTCTATGTTTCATGTGTTGGTGGTAATTTTTTAAATGTTAGTATATTTCTTGTAACTCTAAAATTTTGAGGGTGCCTTTTGCAATTAGTAAAACTATAAATTAATTTTAAAAAATATTAAATTTCAGCGGTCTACCAATCGACGAATTTGATGTGTGCTAGTTAAAAATTTTGAAAATTTCGAGTTTTTTTACGAATTTTAAATTTTGAAGGAGTTTTTTAAAAATTTTGAGCGGCAAATTTTAATTTTTTAGGTGTCGAAGGGTAATATCTTGAATTCATCTTATGTTATTTACAAATTTATATATATATATATTAGTTTTTTATTCTTTTCTCTCCTCTCCTCTTCATTTTCACGCCGCCCTCACCCTCTCTCTCTCTCTCTTCCTTCGTTCTCTCCCTCTCTCAAAACTCACTTTTTTATTCTTTTCTCTCCTCTCCTCTTCGTTTTCACGGTGCCCTCACCCTCTCTCTCTTCCTTCGTTCTCTCCCTCTCTCAAAACTCACCGCCACCAATGCATCCCCCCAATACCGCCTCCCCTTACTGTTGGCCTCTTTGTTTTGATGATGTTTAACAAACAATTTACATCTAATATTGTTTGTCTAGTGTTTGTGTTTTGTATTAATTGTAGACAAACAATAAGTTGGATAGTGTTGCTTTTTATAATTTGAACTTTTGAAGGTGTTTCTATAATTTTTAAGATATTAAGGGTGTTAATTCAAAATTTTAAATTTAAATGTCAAAAATTTTAGGTGTATCATGGTAATCTCTTGAATTCATCTGTGTTGTTTGTAAGTTTTAAAATTTTAGAATTTTAATGTGCTTGTCTGTAATTTAAACTTTTGAGGGTGTTTCTATAATTTTTGAGACATTGAGGTGTTAACTGTAAATTTTAAATTCTTTGCAAACTGATGTTAATTTTTTAATTTCATGTTTTTTATTTTAAGTTTTGAGACATTGGGATGATTTTTATAATTTTGAACTTTTCAGGGCCTTTTCTGTAATTTTAAATTTTTTTTTTGGTTTTTTACAATACTTCATGTATTATAATATGTTATCTACTTGTAATTTCTTTATCTTAACAAACTAATATCATTTTTATGTTTTATATATTTTATTAATATTAGTTTTTTTAAATTGTTAAGCTAAACATGGTTCACATAGGATTAGGATAAGATATGATTATGATTAGGATAGATTAAGATATAAATAAAATATTCAAAATAGTGAAGGGTAATATTGACCATTAAAAATTAGAATTTGATTATAGATAAGATAGTTCAAACTATAAAGGGGTATATTTGTCTAAAAAAGATTTTCCGTACTCGTGCTTTTAAAGGGAGTATGATATATTTTGTTTTAGAGTTAATTTATAGTTAATTAAATTTAGTTAATGTATAGTTAATTTAAAATAATATAATTAAGTTAATTTAATAATTATCTAAAGTAATTAAATTATTATCTAAATTAATTATTTGTTAAATTAATTATTATCTAAATTAATTATTTGTTAAAATTTAATATGATTAATTAATTTAATGATTATATAAGGTAATTTATTAATTTAAATTAATTAATTAATTATTTTTAGTTATTAATATTTAATTATTTATTCATTTATAAATAAACCATATATTTAATTAAATCCTAATCTATAAAATTAAAAAACTAAACATAATTAATTAAGGGGTAGTGGACTTTTAATTTTAAGGGGGACCATTGGAGTAGAACCAACCCCTCCCTGAAAGTTCTCCATAAATTAAGGGACATCCAAGGGATCCCTTGGAGATGCTCTTAGATCTAGCTATTGAGAGGGGAGCTAGCGGTGATGTTCACATTCTGGTAGAAACTATTAATTGTCTCTTGCCACTAGCTATTGAGGTGGACTGGTGGCGCTGCGGGTTTCAGGTGAGGTGGCAGTGAGGGTTCGGAGACGGAGTTGAGGTGGTGGGGTTTGTGGGAGGGACGAAGCTGAGCTGATTTGGGTTGCTATTGTTGAGGGATGAAGACGAAGACGTGGGTGGGGAATTTACGTGGAGCAGAGAACGAAGAAGAGGTGACGGCTGGATTTGGCAATGAGGAAGATCGGACGGCTGAGGAGAAAAAGAAGAAACAAGAGTAGGCTTAGGGTTTCACACCCATGGTTTCACACCAAGTTTAGCTAACACAAATTTCATTTCATTTTCATTCCATCATTGATTTTCAATAGTCTCATACAACCTTATTTATAAAAAAACTACGTGCACACAACGTGCAATAAAAATAGAAATAAACAACAATCCCTCAAATCACTCAACTAAAATTAAACTAAATTTCAAATTTCAAATTTCAAATTTTAAAATTCAAATTTTAAATTTTAAATTTTAAAATTCAAAATTCAAAATTCAAAAATATATCAACTAATCAAATATTGTCATTTCTTGTCCTCATTACTATGCTTGTCCATCCTGTTCCGAAATAACTCCTGAATGATATCATACGCATGTTTGACGTGTCCCTGGCCTGAGTACAGCTGTTCCAAGAACTTCCACACCTGTTTCACTGTATTATAGTGAATTGTTAGCTGAAGGACCTGTGGTTCCATGTTTAAAATTTAATGATGTAGACTAGTATCATCCTGTTTCCAGGATACATTAACTGGTACAAGAGGGTCATCTGTAAGATGATGATCCTTTCTCTGTCCTGAAATATAAACTCAAACTAGTTGCTTCCCAAGTAAGTAATTAGATTCAATTTTTGGTAGGTGATCCTGCTAGAGAGTATCTCCGTGTGGGTCTTCATCTCATCAATCGACATAATAGAATTACTGGAGGACGCCATTAATATAGCAAATAAGATCCTTTAACTTAGTATCTCCCAAAAATAAACTATCAACCTCACTGAGGAATAATCAAATCATCAACAACTAATCAACACAAATAATTTGTTCAATAAGTAAAATCATTCCATCAAAAACGAGTTATCATTTATCTCAAAGAGATTGTTAACGACTGATCGTAACATAGAGCTAAATAATTAGCTGAAGATCTATAAAGATATAATTGGTAAGCTAAATGATTAGCTGAAGATTTAGTTGGTAAGCTAAATAATTACCTGAAGATCTATGAAGATCTAGTTGATAAGCTAGATAATTAGCTTAACTTTTTTTAACTGATGGGTGAACAATACCGTTGGGTGAATAGTGTCCGATGAACAGTGTTTTCTAGGGTTTGGTTGTGGAGGGTTACGGCTACAGTTTAGAAAATTGGAGAGAGAAATGAGGGTGGCTCTGATATCATGTAATTAAGAAAACCCTAGTGAGTTTATTAGCTCTCTCTCTAGGATGTTATTTATAGTGTTTAAGGAAATAAAAAAAATTTGTCTTTAACCAATGTGGGACTAAACAATAGTAAACAACTACTCTCTCAACACTTTGGAAGAAAAACGTCAAATGAGAACTACCTTTTGATTACCTTCCACTTGGACAAAATTAGATATTTTAATTAAAAATAGAACATTCTGTCCATAAAATGTCCGACTTAGTATTCTATTCTTAATGGAGGTCTAAAGTAATAATGTGCTACGTTTTGGGGTTTTTCATTGGGAAATAAAAATCAAGTGGGTTTACTTTTCTCTTAGATAGTAACTTAGGGATAGGTTTTGTATGCGTTACTTTCAATGTTGGATGAAGACGACCTGCAAAATTATGAGAAAATGTGAACTTTCTTTAGCACCCAAGTTTTGGGTGACAACAGTTGGATATCAAGTGATCCTTATGATATGGTTCACTTCAACAAGTAGATGATTGCCTTGAATTTAGTGTGTGTTAAAATTAGGTCATATTTTTGTAGTACGACCAACATAAAAAATGTACACTAAATTCTATTATATTGATTCTAGTTTATATACACGTCTGGCTCACGCTAGAGCCATGAGTTTGGTCTATTTGGCATTTAATCTCTCTGCTTTCATCTGAAAAATATAAGGAAATAGTGTAGTATGTGAAGAATGAGCATTAGTTGAAAACTTAATGGTTTTTGTGATCCATGTTGTAGTATTTTGTAAAATTAAGGAGGCATTGAGAAGATGAAGCTAAACATAAATAGAAACTCATGCTAACGAAAGCGCCAGCTTTCAAATATGATCTAATCTGTGATTATTTCAGCAAGATATGATCCTAAAGTCTACTACATATATATCTAGTCATTTGACGGGTTCTCCCTTTTTCTGCAGGGGGCTATCTTGACTGAATAAGTTACTCTGATGCTGAACAATAACGAAGGGGGAAAATCCATCACAAAATGGTTGGAAAAATGTGCACTAGTATATTTTACTGCATATTGATTGTTATATTAAGGCTTGGATCAGCGAGCTAGTTGAAGGATTAAAGGAGAGTAGAGCTAACGTTTGCGTTGTACATATGGAAACTAACTTGGGCTTCTATGTGACTGAGGGTATTTTTTCAGTTTGCTGATTAGATTGCTATGTTTACCTGTATATAAAACCTATAATGCTTGTTTGAACTGCTTGTGACCATTTGCGTCTTTCGTATATTGTTATTGTAGTATTGGTTGCTTGTATTTGTTTTGGGTAGTATGAAGGATAATGGAGATTTTGATTATCTTGGTGTATTTCTCTGTTTCCTCAAGATTGAAGTATGAGGGTTTTTAGGAATGATTGCCTATATCGGCTATATTTTCAAGTTCCTGATTATATTGTCCATTTAAATTCTTCATGAACCAATATGTTTTTTATGATATATAAGCTATGCACTCCAAATTCTTATGTCTTTTATAGAGCCAAAGAGTTTAAATGTGAGCCTCTAATGTTTTGCTCTTACAACAGCAAAATCAACTTAATAGATGTGGATATTCCAAATGAGTTATATGTTCTGTATACAATACACTTGCCCTAGGTAAGTGAGTTATAATAGTATTTTTCATTCACATTGTTTGGGCAAGATTTGTTAGAGACCGTGCATCAAAGAAAAGAAATTTTATATTTAGAGCACATGGCAAAATATATCATAATCTTACTGCTCTAATTTTGTGAGAAAATAATTCTTCATACTTTTAGTTTTTACTTCTCTGATATGGAGAATGAGATATAAAATTGAATGAGAATATTTGATAATATAAATATGAGTGAAATCACAACTAAAAGTTAATGTGAATATGAGTCAAACCACAACTAAAAGTTTAACAGACGTATTGTAAGTAAATTTATATGCAAAATTCCTTTGTGAATTAAATGATCACCCCATCTTTTGAAGACTTCAAGATACTAAAAAACAGAGATGTTATACTAGACCAATGTATTTATAACTCACAAATAGTAGATCATATAGCTATAATCTGAGTTGAAGGAAACAATGATACTATTTCATTTGAGAGAGATTATTGAGTTGATGATCAGTCACAAAAATACTTTATTCTCTTTTTTATTTTTATTAATTTTTAAATAATTATGATATTCAACCGCGTGCATTACGCGTGCATTCCAACTAGTAGACTGAAGTAAACCGGTTTGCTTTCGAATCAGTTTTAACAACCAACAATATAATGGAAAAGAGCTTTGCTACAGGGACCCAAAATATGGGACCAATAGAGGGGACAAGTGAGGTGTTCCCCTCCTATTGGATAATGAGTTGGCCATCATTAATGATGGCCAACTCATTATCCAATAGGAGGGGAACACCTCACTTGTCCCCTCTATTGGTCCCATATTTTGGGTCCCTGGGGAATTTTTCAATGGGAAATCCGAAAATCCCATTTCTAAGAAGGCCCGTGTAGCCCAACAAACAAATTCAAACCACCTCTTTTCCCGCTGAATCTAATAACTTAAAGAGGATGAGCTGTCCTCCAAACTCTAACATCATCATCCCGTCCCCCAAAAACGGAAAGAAAAAAAAAAGCCAAAAAAAAAAGAAAAACCAAATTATTGACCTTTTATCACCCTCACGATTCCCAATCCCCTATAATTGCACCTCTCCCGAGACCCCCACTCCCCCATTTCAAATTCAAATCCCCCCCTCCTTTTCTTCGGTACAAAAGCAAGAAAAGCCAAGGGAGAAACAAGAGACCCAGGAAATGCAAGGCCTGAAGAAATCCGGCTCGTCGTCTTCTTCCTCGTACAACTCCCTCTATCTAAACCCGCGTTGCTCCGTCGGACAAGGAGAACGTGGCCCCACCGTGGTGGACCCCACAGGATGCAAGTCCTTCAAGGCGGCGGCGGCGTCGGCGGCGGCGGGGTGGGGAGAAGGAAGAAGAGAAGAACCAAGCGCTGAAGCCCTGCCTGCCAGCTCGCAGCTCTGCAATGATAGCTCAATGAGCCCGAGTCTCTCTTGGACCCGCCGACGACGAAGTGGGGCCGGATCGGCGCCGTGTCGTCGTCCTCGGACATGTGGGACTTCTCGGATTCCGAGGCGGCGCCGGCTTCGTCCTGGTCTACTCTCCCCAACAGGTCTCCTCGCTTTTCGATTTCTCCCGTTCTTTGTATTTTTTTTAATTTTTAATTTTTAATTTTTATCTTTTAAAAAAAAAAGTGCAGGTCGTTGCTGTGTAGGCCGCTACCAATGGATGTAGGGAGGTGTAGTTGCGTAATTGTGAAGGAACGGGTGGAAGCTGTGAAGGGGGTGACGATGTCTCTCTACTCTCTCTGTACCAATGTGAGCCTTTTATGCTGTTTGTTTATGGGTTTTTTTTTTTTTTTTTTTTTTTTTCCTGTCTTTTTTTCTCTTNGCGGCTTAATTGCACTTAAATACCCTGTAGTTCCCCCTTACGTTGCGCTTTAATACCCTCACTTGTTTCTGGATGCGATTTACGACCTAAGGTTTTTAAAGTTTCCCTTACGGGGCTGTTTGGTTCGTTTTTTAATTCGGTGGAAAAGTTTTACACCGCCTCCACATCAGATTTTTCGTGGCTACGTAGGATATAAGCTTTCCGTCGGTGTTTTTTTCCATCTTTGGTTCGCTGGGGTTGAAGAAAAGAAACTCAGTGAAAATTGCCGCCACATTAGATTTTTTTATCTCCCTCAATTCTTTCCTCAAACTCGTGAAATCGACGAAAACTACAGTCACGTCAGCTTTTTGCCATATAAACAAATGTTTTTCTTTTTTTTTCATGCGAACCAAATACAAAAAAATAAATAGATTGGTTTCCCACCATTCTTTTTGTGCGAACCAAAGCGAAACAATCTATTTCTTGAAAAAAGTTTGAAAAACTCAAAACTTATGTTTTTGTACATGGAAATGCATTTCCCTATATCTAAGAAACGGACCAAACAGCCCCTATATATACCTTCGCTTGTTTTTCATAGCGCTTACGTATTCTAGAGATATTTAAGCTTGCATTTAAATGCCCTAATGTTTTTAAGCACTTGAATACCTTAAAAGTTTTTAAAATGCACTTAAATAGCCTCAAGTCTGCATAACTGACGGTGTGTGAGTGTAAGTTTTAAAAACTTTACAGTGTGTTTGGGAGATGACTTAGGGAAGGGAAGGAAGGGGAAAGTCTTTCCCTTTCCCTTCATGACACCCCAATTTGGAGTGCAAGATTTGGGCTCAAATTTTCTCTCATTCCCCTCCTCTACCCTCTTAAATGAAACTCCCAAACAATGTTAAAATTAAATTTCTCTTCTCCTCCCCCTCTCTACCCTCCATCCAAACAGGTCATTAGGGTTTTCAAGTGCACGTTTTTAAAACTTTACAATATGTAAGTGCTTTTAAAACAAGTTAGGGACTTAGGGTATATAAGTGCAAGTTTTTAAAAACTTTAGGAGGGATAAGTGCTAAGTAGAGGAAACTATAGGATACTTAAGCGGAATTAAGCCTTTTTTTTTAAAAGAAAATGGAACAAATTAGTAATAATGAGGCCTCTACTCTACTGAGCAGTCACACACACAAAAAAAAGAGTAGAACCATTGACACTCTAATGCACAGACATTGCTGATAATTCTTTTAAGAATGAAAATTCACTGTGACAGAGTTATCTAATATGAGGAATCAGATGCAGCGTATGAATCGCGTTGAATGAAAGAATTGGCCTTGTCATAATAACATACTGCAAGAGAAGAAGAAAAACACAGCCATGTAGGGTATCAAGCCTCATGATGTTCTAATGCTCCTCCGCACTAAAGTTGCTCTTGTTGAATTTGAACATTAATTTGTGGATCTGCTCCTGATCTCCTGCTGCTAGGAAATGAAATTTCTCCCAGGTTTTTCGACGTGCTCATATTTCCGTCTGATATTAAATCAAAAATAATGTTGCTCTTATTTCCTGGCTATTCTTAATTTTATATCGCTTTCCTAGAAAAACACAAACATTACTGATTAGCGTTACCTCTTAAGTAGTTCTGAAACTGCTTGTAAAATTCAAAAACATCAGTATGATTACCGATTAGCGTTACCCCTACTAAAGAACACAGTGCCACTCCTCCCTCCAACCTTTTATAGAATTGTTCATCGTAATAACAGGAGGGACACGGACGACAAGATAGGAAGCTAGCAGTTGCTCGGCACAAAAGGCAAAATGGTCGATCCAAGTTTCTCGTAGCTCAGAATCCTAGAGGACTGCTCTCCTCTCCTGATGACAGCTTCTTGGGGACGATATCAGCAAATCTCATGGGTTCAAAGTTTCAGATATGGGATCAGGTTCGATCATGCTTTCATTGACCTGGAAATCTGTGTCTATTTTCACTTGGATAAGAAGTTTGTTATTCTTCTTGTTTGCAGAGCAGAGCTCGTGATTCGTTAAGAACTCAGCCAAAGAAACTTCTTGGTGTTGTTGCGTAAGAGAATCTCTCTTTCTATCTCCTCAGCATTTCTTTCTACCCTTGTTTCTTAATAAATGAGATCTTTTTCTGTATACATTTGTAGAAAACTAGCCACTGCACACAGCATTGATACAAAATGTATATGGTAGTAAAAAATAAAATCTCGGCAGCATATCACTTATATAAATATCTGGGTGTAAATAGTCGTATAGAGATGGTACGGATAAGTTAGTTGAGTCTATTGTTGTTTTACTCCTGAACTCTTCGTGTTATGTGGCAGGTTTGTGCCCACAGTAACAACACTCACAGGGAGTTTCAGAATCATGAAGGTATGGATACCGAAACAACAATCTATGCAGTTAAAGAATGCAAATACTACTCAGGTGAAAATGGAACCAACCAAAATTTTCTGCCTATTTTTTCGAAGAAAAAAAGGGGAAAGACTAAAACAAATGGATTCTAACAAAAATCGGGTACTTGTCAGATCAACCACATAAATGGACTTCCAAAAGACTGGGAGAAGAAAGGGAACAAAGCTCATCAACTCTTCTCAAGGGCACCACACTACAATTATGTAAGTTACAGCACTAAATTAGTGAATAAAGAGAAACATCGGTAGTCTTATAGTTTCCATGGTATTGTGATTAATCATTCCTACGCTCTGTAGGCTTCAAAGCACAACGAGCTAGATTTCAGAGAGAGGGCAGGAAAGACAATGCCCAAGATTCAGACATCGGTGAAGAATTTCCAGCTAACGATGGAGGTAATCTTTCTTCTAATCACCAAGCAGATGCAACTTTTTATCGAAGTCCTCTATCTAAACATTCTAATAGAAGTCACATAAATTTTGACACTGAGTATTAATCGATTTCCTTTTATTTATGATTTGTGTTCTTAGAATAGAGCTGCAGAAGCTTCATTATAAGATGACCACTTCTATAAACTTGTGAAAAGTTTCTTCTCTAACTTCTAACTTCAGTGTGATTTAGCCATTAGTCAATGGTCAAAATTAGTACATATTATTCTTAAAACAGATTTAATATGCAACTGACGAGATCTCTGGAAGTATTGTGATCTGAAAATTCTTATGGGCTGTCGGTCTCAGGCTTTTAACAACTGATTTAGTTACCCTGAGATTCCTATAGAAATACCAGAAGATGAATAATTAATAAAACTGTATTATCATATAACAGAATACTCATAAATTGATAAACTAACTTCAGTAAGTTAATGTCCATATGCGACAAGCATAAGCACAGTATTTTTTGTGTTGATTTGTAATCCAAGTACTCACTGCTAATGTTGTTCCATAGGAGAAAGGTAAACAAACACTTCTGCAGTTTGGGAAGATTGGGAAGTCAAAGTATGTGATGGATTATAGGTAAATATAATTATCCTCTGGGTATTTTATGAGAAATGCATAGAATAAATAGAATAAGAAGAATAACTTTGCTTTTCTTAATATTTGCAGATATCCTTTGACGGGTTATCAAGCTTTCTGCATTTGTTTGGCTTCCATTGATTCAAAGCTCTGCTGTTCAGTGTAGAATTCTCCATCCTTCATTGTTCCACCTCTGTAACACAAACGATTATCTTGTAGAATTCTCCATCCTTCTACGTTCAACCTCTGAGCACAAAGGATTATCTCGTTTTGTTCTGTATTAGCTCACTTTGGAAAGATCACGACGACAGAAATTGTTGTAACCTGTTATGTATAATTCTATAAGAATTAACAGTAGCAAAGGCTGAAAGCTGGTTCTCGGCAGATTTGATTCCTACAACTGCATTGCTCCTTAATATTGATGCAGGCTGAAACCAAAAATGGATCCTCGACTGCTAGCGCTAGATAATCAATTTGAAAAGAAAAGGTTGGCCATCCACAAAGTCGTAGTTTTCTCATCAATTTGGTGAAAGTAATGATACGAGATTTTTTTTTTTTAATCAATTCATAAAACAGGAATGTAGTCGTCGTTCAATAGGGAACAACTAAGCGAGCATGATTACATTGGACATAAATGTTTATTGTTAGGGGTTTATGCATGCAATATGAAGGGGGAAAAAGTCAGAGCAGTAAGGCGACACTCGAATGCTACCATAGTTGTGAACAAATTGAAGTTTTACCTGATTTCAGGCATAACAAAATATAAATCTGAATACGCAGCATTCAATCAAGCTTGAGAATAAAACTATATGACAAGTTCCATCAAAAATGTAACAAACAATAAAGAAAAAAAAATGTAACAAACCGAATAGTTCCTACATGACAAGTTAGACGCTCGTTTACTTACTCGCGTACGAAAAGCCCAGGTTCAAGTATGGATAGGAGTCGTCAAAACGTCCTTCGAGCCGCGGTCAGAGCAACCGCAGCTTTCCCTTGCGCAGCGAGGAAGATGTTGCCTCACAAAGCGCCTTCTCTGCACCTGACAATGCTGAACATGAATCGGCCGTCAAAGTGATGGCGAAGTAGAGATAGATGGTGCAGGAGGACAAGCAGAAGGAGCAGGCATCCTCGGCAGGACGCCGTGCCTCTCGAGGAGAGCAGACCAGCTAAACTGCTCGTCTCGATGCCTTCTGAACGACGCGGATCTCTTATAAGAAGAGGGCGGCAAGTCTACTACACCCATAACTCGGTTTTGCTTCTTTGAATTCGGAAACCCTGCGTTAGAAATTAATTATCTTAATTTCTTCAGTCACTTTGAACTTCTCTTTCGTTCTTTCAAAATATTTGCATCCATCAAAAATTGAACTTCTCTTTCATTCTTTCAAAATATTTGCATCCATCATAATTTGCATTAGGGCGAAACCTCAATATTTGCATCCATCAAAATATTTTTGCGGAGTCGTCATGGCGTACAGAATTTCTTGATGGGTTAATTTAGCAAAACATGAATTATAAGGAAAGCCCTCTTCACCCCCAAAAAACTTGGACGCATACACGATTAAATCATTTTGAGGAAATTGCGAAGCCCGGAGATTTAGATGAACGTCTTCGGACAAAATTCAATTTTAATTCTCGATCCATCTTTTTTATCATCAGCGATCATTAAAAGTAGACACAGGAAAAAAGAAAGAAAGAAAGAAAGAAAGAAGAGGGAGATCGAGATCAGGAAGAGATACACACCGCGGGCGAGGATCGATCCCAGAGCGGTGGTAAAGAGATCCGATGACCAAGAAAACTAAAAAAAAAAAATTATTATCAACGGCGACTCTTGAGAGAGAGAGAGAGAGAGGGGAAAGCCGCCGATATTTGAGGAAGGAAATTTGCTGTACGTACGCGTTTGACTGGTCTTTGGACGACGAAAGAAATTTGCCAGCGTTTACCAAATTAGGAAAGAGAACGAGAGCGGCATCCGTATCATTAGCACTCTCAACCGTATATTCAGAAATTTAGGGGAAGTCTAGTTCATTTTTTAGAAAACTAAGTTTGGGAGATTAGTCACGTGGAAATATGTTGTGAGAGCCATTTTCATGTTTTTAAATTTATTTCATGACTTTTTTTTTAGAACAAAATGAGTTTTCTTAAATTTGGGACTCGTGACACTATTATCTTAATAGTTGGTGGGTCCTACGTGCACAACATTTCTTTTTTCTCTCTCAATCAAACACAAGAAAAGAAAATCAAACACCTTCATATGGGCGTGTTGTGTGTTTTGATTTTTTTTTTTTCAAGTTTCTCGGCCAACCAAACAACCCCTTAGCCTCTCGTTATGTACAGTCGCTCGAACTTCGTTCTCTTTTTTTCACTTATGGAGTCCTGTTACTAAGCGAGATTTTATACAAAAGATGATCGTAATGAATTAAACAAATAAATAATGCCCACAGGCTTGTTTTTGTGAAATATTACAAGAGTCCGCAACATTTTAGCATCCTGATGCATAAACCAAGCAGACTAACGAGAGACAACATCCTAAAAACAGAAGTCCTTCGAAAAGGGCAGAATTTTCAAAGTAGAGAAAGATGGCTACGTACACGTAGGGTATACACCCAAAAATTTTCAAAGAATTCAACCAAGATGCTCGGACCATCTTCAAATATTTGCTAATCGCAGGAATTTTGTAAGAGAACATCAGTATCCGAGTGCATGTAACTAGGCAATTCAAGAGCACGCGAATTTTGAAAGATACTAATATTCGATGCAAGTAATCCAATCAATAGGGTTATACAACACGTCGGCATTATGTTTACGGAGATGAAACAACGCTGATAAACCGCGTTTCTTGCATCTGCAGTGGACTACATATGCAGATGAAGAAGTCTATGAACAATTAGTCAGGATACTTTACTATAAATAAAGCTAAATTGGCAACGTCAAGTCATAGGTTCTCCAACAACGGAAGCTATCAGTTCACTGCTCTCGGGCATCAGGCTCGTCGTCAGCGTGTAGGAAAGCATTTCCACAAGTACACTGCTATAACAACTCTCAAACGTAAAGAGAACTACATAGAATTCCTATCGAAAGGAAGTTCCTAGATTACCTCAGAATTATCAATAAGACAACCACATACGTTTAAAAACATACATTAATCCCATCGATGCCTGTTGAATAAGCCATGAACAAAAGCAACAAGGTGAAGATAAAGAAAAACTAACAGCGAAGTCTCGCAGGCTCAAACTTAGCATCTAGAATTACAACTTCTCAGTTCCTGAGAGAATCTGTTGTGGTTAGCAGCATCTATCAATCACGCTGGTGTGCCCTCTAGAAATCGTTTTTCCCCCTCTTTGAAAGTAGACAAGAATCAAACAATCTAATCCCCTCTTGCTCAATCATGAGTAACAGTAAATGTTGCTTTTTTTTGCCCTCACAGCTATGAGAAGTCGGCAAAGTCTTCATAATTGTGACTTCGTGTTCCTTTTCTCTGAAGCCATCAAGCAATCCGCTGCAAACTAAAATGTCGACAATTTCAACAGTAAGAAAGAGAGAAAACAATCTTAATATAAGCAGTACACCACCCAGATTTTTTGGCTCAGAATCATATGGAGACTCAAAATAATGAAACTTTAGAACTAAATACAGAATATAGTGGAAGAAATTGTTTACATGGTTGTTTTTCTTTTTCTTTTTTGGTGTTTTTTTTTTGGGGGAGGGGTGGGGGGTGGGGGGGAGGGGGGATATGAAGAGGAAAATGTTATAATCAAGTGATCCAAACAATTGAAGGGGGCTAAATATTTCGTAACAGTCAATAAGAGGTGAAGACATGAGATAATAAATATAATTGCAAGAAAGCACGAGCTTAAAATTTCACTACATCTTAACCTTTGATAGACCAAAAAGAGGATTCCCGCAATCGAGTCAGAATAAAAGCAGTAAATGACTGACAATTAAAACTGCTGTAAATACTAAAAATAAACCCACGACATTAAGCATATATTTTCCTGAATGAGGGTATAGAACATACCATTCAAACTTCATCATCACCCGAGGGTTCCAATAAATAGTTAGCCGCCAATTCTTCATTCCTGTCACATGCTAGGAATGCTTCAATGACCTGTGCACGATCAAATCCCATTGCCTCAAGCTGAAAACAATTCATATTATTATGAGTTCATGGGAAAAGAAAGCACTCAAGCCAAAGAGATTGAAAGGTGGACGAAAAACTCACTCGTGCAATAGCAGCCTGGTCTTCAGGTGTCACCCTGACTGTGTGAGGCATCTCCTGATCAGGCTGATCAAAGAGATCCCTGAAAAATCGTAGAGAGGATAAACAAAAATAAATGGTAATAAATGAGATCAGAATGATGAAGGATAAAGAATGGCAATTGGCACAGCATATGATAAAGACTGGCCCTCATTCTCCCATCCATTATCTCTCCTAAACAAGGAGCTTTTGTGAAAGGCCGCAACGTCTCTAACAATATTGGGTTAGCCCAAGAAATATGTAGGGAATTAGATTAAAAGGCAAAACGTCCCAACATCATTCTCAACCTTGACACGCACAAAGTCTATGACCAACTTGAATGAGACTTTCTATCGAAGGTATTGGCTCGTTTCGGGTTTCTCTGAGGAATGGATTGATCTCATTAAAGCCTACATATGCAATTGTCATTACTCAGTTGTTTTCCAGGGAGTTTATAAAGTTCTCGGGGCCTTCGTCAAGGAGATCCCCTATCCCCTAGCCTCTTCATTATTGTTGAGGAAATCCTATCATTGGGCTTCAACCATCTCACTGCTCTAGACGCTCTTTTCTCCACAACAATAGCCTAATGTCCTTCCCATCTCCTCTTTGCGGATGATCTCATTATTTTCACTAATGCAACCCGTAAGACCCTTATATGAATCATCTACACTCTTGATAAATACACACAAGCTTTGGGTCAGAAACTTAATTTGACCAAGCGCCGCTACTACATTCAGGCCAAAGCTCCCCTCTCTCGCATCAGAGTTGTTGAAAGGACTCTTAAATTCTCAAGGGAAAAATTTCCAATGACCTACTTGGGTTCCCAATTGGCCCTCACAAAGAAAAGTTGCCTCTTTTCTCCCTCTCATGGACAGAATCAAGGAGCGCCTCCAAGGATGGCATTGCAAATTATTAAGTTGTGCGGGACGACTTATTCTCATCAAACATGTGTTGAGTAGTATGCCTATCCATCAACTCTCCTCCATAGTTGTTCCCAATACAATTTTTTCTATGATTGAAGCTCTATTTGCTAACTTCTTTTGGGGTAACTCTGACTTTGGTAAAAAGAGGCACTAGCTTCAATGGCGCAAATCTTGTGCCTTCGCCTTAGTAAGGAGGTCTCGGATTCGACAATTATCGAATATGAATAAAGCTTTTCTCCTTAAGCAATGCTGGCAACTATGCATGAAATCCTCTATATGAGCTAACTTCATGCATGACAAAATTCAGCCCCATCCATCCTAATGGACTGGTTCGCAGAGATGCTACATTGAATGGAAAAGCATTCTAGCCATGAAACAGGAATTCGCTGCCCGTTGTGCTTGGTCCATTTGTACGGGTAATTTTTTCTGATATGATCGATGGCATCCTGAGTTTCTTTTTGATCTTCTCACTCCCAATGAGGATATCCACTTGAAACTCAGGGACCTCAATCATAATGATGTTTGGATGTTTGACAGCTTGATCCCTACTCTCGGCCCTGATGTGGTTAAAGCACTGTATGACCATGCACCTAGGCTCACGGGGGATGATGACTTACAGCAATGGGCTCCTGAAAATACATGTATATTCTCTACTAAGTCTACATGGAACTCTATTCGTGACCACCATCCAATTGTGCACACACTTGATGATATTTGTGCTACTCCCATACCCACGTCGGCAAAGATTATATGCTGACGAATTTTTTATAACATCCTGCCAGTTGACAAACGTGCACAACAAAGTGGTATTTCCATAGTTTCCAAGTGTGTATGCTGCTCTACTCATCACGCTGAGTTGCTGGACCATCTTTTTGTGCATCGAGAGCTTGCCCAGTCCCTACGGTCTTATTTCAGCAATCTGTTAGCGGTTCCTTACTTTCCAGTACAATCCATCACTACTAGAATCAAATGGTGGTTTCAGACTTGTAAAAGGAAGTCCTATTTCTCAATCATGGGGACGCTAGCTTGTATTGCAATTTGCATGCAAATATGAAGCTATAGAAATAACACCATCTACGGTGACATGAATAAAGATCATATGCATTTCTAGATGGGTGATCATTGATACACTTCAACACATAGATCAACTTGTCAAACCAATGATTTACTCTTCCAAGTATGGGATTGACTCCTTGCAGACTATTGGCATCACCCCTAGGACCCCCAAGGCCAATCGAGTTACCCTATGCTCCCGAACCCCCCTCCCCCCTACGGTGAATACTTTTGCACTTAACATTAATGGTTCTAGCCGTGGCAATTAGATTGCAACAGTGTGTTTCGAGATCGTAAGGGTCAGCTCCTATATGCCTATGCAGGATCTAGGGGTTCTGATACCAGTTTTCAAGGAGAAATGCAAGCCCTTGCAATGGGAGCTGAACTCATTGATGAGATGAACATCCATCCCACAATAGCCTAAACCGACTCCATGAGCCTAGCCAAAAGCATCGGTCATTCGTGCCCACACTAGAAGCTCCTCTGCCCTTGGCAAGCCATGCATCGACATCTTCGCGACATTCCTGTGCACCACTGTGTCAGAGAAGCCAATCAGGTGGTTGATGCCCTTTTGAAGCTCGATCACTCTCTACCACACATCCATTACTTCCTGACTATATCGGATCTTCCCAGGCCCATTCAACATTTGCTGTGGCGTGGCCAAATGGGATTCGCATATTGCCGACGCTGCTAGTGGGAGTTTTACTTGTTTATTCCTTTCAGGAGCTTTTGTAGTTCCAGCTCATAGTTTGATTTTTGTACAAGTGAGGTTCGTCTCGCTTTTTGCCGCCCTTTCTCGTAATTAGAGAGGAGTGTTAACGTATTTTGTCTATTTATCAATATATATGGGCTCGTTAAAATAATAATAGTAATAGTAGTAATAATAATAATAGTAATAATAACAACAACATTAAAAAATTATATGCGAAAGAAACTTAGACTATGTGCTAAAATGTTGATTAGGATATTGCATGCACATATGCCCAGACGCTTTCTTCTTGCTTACTCCAAGAGGTAGGAGATAACATGCTCTCCAATACAAACTCAACTCTTACTTTTTCCCTCCATATGCAGTGAGGCCCTTAGAGAAAACAATCAAATGGAGATGGAAATCATGATTGTTTGTGAATGTATATGTTTTACTCTCTAGGTTTATTCATCCTTGGTTTTGAAGTGTCATCTATAGCAGATCCATCACCCTTTTTTCCTTTTTGCCCCAAAAGACTTTTGCCTTCAATAACTAGAACCTTGGGCTTACTCCTCCCTTGCATGGGCTTAGGGCACATGACAAATTAAGGTATTTTTTTCTCCCCGACACCTTGACCTTCTCAGGTTTACAGCAAACTCCTATCAAGTACAAAATTTTCCTCGGTAAGCACTCTAACACCAACATCGAGTGTTGGACCTAGTCACCTAAAACTTAAAAGAATTTTGTCATGGGTTTCACGGAGCCTTACGCTCCACAAAAAACTCCACGACAGCGAACATGCAACCATGACGTCATGTCTAACTTTGAACTGAGTGAATGGCAACAAGGGAATGTAACTTCAGAGAGACTAATTTTCTTAATCTACAAATAATGGATCTGCATAATTTTCTCTAAGCATTAGAAACTTTAGATATCTAGTAATTTAATTGTGGGTGCTGCTCTCAAATAACAGATCCATAAATGTTTAAGCTTTACTCAGTTCAAATTCCTAAGTAACTATAAAAAAGAAGGTATCTCAACCTATAAAAATCTGACAAATCAATTCTGCAATCTACAACAAATGCTTGTCGTCCATGAAACAACAAAAAGTAATCAATTGGTCAGAAGAAACAGATAAAAATTACTTAGTATAATAAGCAATGTTTTTGTGCTGCAGAGGAAAGCAACTTAAAACTCACCCTTCAGCGCCTTCTACAGGCTCATTTATTAACTGAAGAAACTCAGCATGATGCTCCTGAATCATTCTAAGCAGCTGCGGGTTTTGTTTGCTTAGTTCTTGAAGCATGGGCTGAAATAAATGCGGGAAAGAAGGCAATGAAATTTGAAATCTCCAAACCCCAACAAAAATATAAAGTTCTAGGAATAAGAAAATACAAACCTGTAGAATTTGGGGATTAGCTTGGACCATTGCTCTCAACATTTGGAACTGAAAAGTAAGACAATGAGACATCAATTTTCAGGTGCTTCTTCAACCTGAGAAAGATTCTTACTATGACTATTAATAAGTGGATAAGCATTAAGTTTGAATCAATATGGCTATGTGCATGTTTGAGATAGGCTTGTGCTCGGACAAGTCCCAGTTTGGCATACAAGAAAATTTAAAGATTTTCCAAGTTAACAGGAAATAACTTGACTTGTTACCCATTTGTCATTGAATTTTATCCAATACTTAAAAGGTGATTCTCACTTGTGACATGTATTTTAGTCGGTACAGGCTGCCCTTATTCTATGAATATGTTATAGCTGCATTAGTAAACTACCAGGAAGTGAAAAGCAAATGCAAGGAAAAGAAAGAGTTAAGACAATGCTTGTATAGAACCAATATACTCTAGACGCAGGTCCCACACTGATATGAAACGATTGAATTAACTATCTAAAAGCAAAGAAAGGAGAAACTATTCTCGTGCATGCTGTTCAGCCATGACCCACCTACATATAAAAATGGAGAATATATCAGGTATCATAGGATACATAGGTTATAGACGGTCAAGGTTTCACAAAAAATCCTCAATGTGTATCAAGCAAACAAAAGTATCACTATTCTTTTGATAAATAAATTATTATAATCATAAAAGAACGAAACACTTTCAGCCTGTCTAATCTAATCTAATATAGTAATGGTAGGATATTTAAAAGACTGTTCAAATAGTCCAAAAAACAAACTACTGATGATGGCTAAATTAAGTACTAGTAAATTCTTTTGAGCCAATTAGTTCGGATAATTTTCTTCAAACAGTTAAAACCTAATATTACATAGGGTTCACAAACAAACTGCAGGATAGTACTGCCCTTAGATTGCTTTAAGGAAATGCTAATGGAGGATCTTTGAACTATTTCCTTCCACCAGTTAGCACAATCCACCAACCTGAGGCACTGCTGCAAGTCATCAACTAGTGATTTAGTGATAATTAAAATATCCTGTGATATGTCACTTCGCCCAACTAAAATAGTTGTCTCACACTCCCAGACATGACGCCTATTTCCATCCACGTCCGACGCTTGCAAATATGTAAATCGTCAAAATGTTTATAGTGAAAAATGTTGTCTCCTGACAGTTTTATTTATTAAATTAGCCATCACCAGGAGCATAAAATTAGCCATCATCATAATATTAGAATAAGCTCCTGACAGAAGCTGATTTGAGGCAGTTGTTGTGTCCAAAACTCTCTGTCCATGTTGGAGAACAACACTCTTGTCCATGTCTACAAATTATACAATATCAAAGAGAAATACTCAGAAATGTCTCGTCTTTTTAGAAAAAATTACCTAACCATAAACTATAAAGTATCTATAATAGACACAACATACGAAACAGATGTCATAATATAAATCAGAAGATTCACGTCGAGGATATGACACACCTGTGGGTTGTTTCTCAGGAAGTCGAGAGATCCGTCATTACCCGCACCTAGACTGGCAGCCCCCTGTCAACAATATTTGATAACGTCAATTTAAATGCTGCACAGTAAAAAGAAATGGACATCCAATAATGATAACAACATACTATTTTACCTGCGGAAACATATTTAAAGGTGAGGAATTTGGCAAACCAGGTTGAGGGGATGACCCTGTTGCAGCAGCTTCATTTGTGTTTGCAGCTACTGGGACAGCAACTTCTGCTGCTGGTGGTATGCCCTGACATTAGAGAGGAAAATATCAGCTATACAGATTAGTTTCCATATAAGATGTAGCAACTATGAAATTTGTAAAACACATTGCATACAGAATATAGATATTCTACAGCACGCTCTGGATTGTTATAAGCAGCACGAAGTGCACGCGAGACAGTGTCCTTGTCCCAGTTGCCACTGCCCATATCCATCAACTGATTAATAATCTGGTCAAGATTACTGCCTGCAGCTAGATTAGACGCAGCTTGATCATATGCATCAGAAGGTGCTCTGCAATTAACAGATGAAGGCATTAATTCTCCTTTAACAACCAGTCGATTGGACTTACAAATGGGACCCGTTGTACATGATACGACATCAGTTGGTTGTATCATGTACGAAAAGTAGGGAGGATGGTCTCATCAATGAATGAAATAAAAATATTGATAACTTGATAATTAGATTATGAGCCTTGCATCCATCAACACTAAGTGCTGCTGATACAGCTCCACAAATTTAAACGAATCAAGATAACAAAACACACACACACACACACGACTTTGCAAGAAGACTTGATATTAATCTCCAAATATCAAGGTTTTAAATGTCACCCGACATGTCCGACATGTCGGCCGACATATCGGTTTGAGGGCTTGACCGACACGATATGGACGTTTTCAACTCGTATGTCGGTTTTCAGGACCAAATCGAAAATATCTGGGTCATATCGGGCATATCGGCCTATTTTTTAGCTTTGAAAAATCGACCGATATGATACTTTTTTTAAGATCTGTTTTTTGTTATCGAGTTTGGGTTTAGTGATAAATACTCAAACTCGTTTGATCCGTTCTCATGTTTAAGGATTTCTTATGAACCCGATAGAAAGAATTTATGAACCTAAATCCATATATTATTTACTTTTTTATATGTTTAGTCTATAGAATTTATAAAGTATGCTTATATTAAATTTATGAATGCTTAGATTACATTTAGGACATGATATTATACATATGCGCACTACCCGATATGACAATCCGATATTTAGTCAATGTCCCCCGATATATCCCCGATTTTCGCTATCCGACATGGATTTTAGTCATCCGACATGAACCCGATATCCGACATTTAAAACCTTGCCAAATATTAATAATGCATGTAGGTTGACTAAATCATTTTACTTCAAAGTACATTCCCCCTGGTCACTTCTTCAGAAGCACATTCTTCTAAGTTCTATCTCTGGAGAAAGCCTCATAAATAAATCTTCCTAAATTTGATCGTAGTTCTTCCAAAATCTTAAATTGTTCATATATACCTTAAACTGTATAATTACTCTTAAAAAGTTTATCCAGTTACTATTCCAAAAGTTCAAACTTGTATCTTTTTTTTCTTTTTTTATTTCCCCCTCGAGCTGGAAAGGGTATAATATCTGTTTTTCAAAATAGGTTCCTCAGGTTACTATTTTAGGAGTTTATTCCTTGTGTGTGTGTGTGTGTGTGTGTGTGTATTGCGCAATTGGCCCAACTTGACATCAATTTCCTCGGTATCATGGCGCAGTATATCATTTATGCCGTAGTATATATTGTCCCTCTACTAGTTTGGTCTTAAACCCATCAACTTCCTTAATCCAAACCAACAGCATAAGTTCCTGACAAGTGAGCTAGGCCTCAGAAAGCCAGGCCTCACTGACGATCAAGGCCTGATGTAAAGTCACAGAAATCAAGAAGCTCCACATGAGATCCCTATAATGCAAACTTTCCGTAATAAGAAGCTGCATCTACAGCAATTAGGGAAGTATTTAAAACTTGGTACTCTTACTGAGAAAATACCTAAAACAGTCAGTCAACAATTGGGTTGTAAGCCCTAATATTCAATGTTAAATAGGTGTCAGCATCTTCAGTGAATATTACACATTTTACGCCAAGATTAAAGTATTCTTAGACACTCACCAGAAGAAATAGAGGATGTCAAGCCAAGGTTTCATAATTTTCAGTGAATATTACAGTAGAATTAGTCAAGCAAATGCTTGTGATTTTTGAACAAAAATAATACATACTCTGTTGTTGCTCTCTCAGATGTAGTCGCAGGATTTGTTGGAGGCCTGATTCAATCAGCGAAATCCAAACAATAAAAAATTAACACAAGTACAAGGAAAATAAGCAAGAAAAACAAGAATGCAACTCACTGAGTCTGTGGGCAAGCCTGAGTAGACGTCTGAATAGGAGGCTGAGAAGGGGTCACAGCAGTCGCCGAAGGCTATCAACATAGGAAATAGTTAATGCAGCATGACCACCTTAAAGAGAAACTTTGATTCAAAAGAGCGCAAGAATACCTGAGCCGAAGAAGACCCGCCAGTACCTGGAGCTTTGCTCTGAAGTGATAACATGATTGCAGTCAGAAAAGCAAGTAAATAAGAAAGAAAAGTATTGAAACCAAAATCCGCATGAACTACCATGAAAAAATCCACATGAAAAGGACATCCTGGATTGAACAGCAATAAAAAGCCATGTATTTGGTTGCAAGTTGAACCAATGAACCATAACTTAAACTAGAAAGAAGATAATCAAACAATGCACAAACCAACACCACTTGAGCTAATAATTATAAATTTGGTCTGAAGAGATTGAAGAGCCTTTTACTAAATTAAAAAAAAATTCTACCTTACAATGGAAAATATACCTTACTAAGCATAACAACAAGAAAACCATCTTCACTGATTTTGTTCTCCTCCAATGTGCTCTCATCCTTTAAAACCTTCCCATTATGGATCAATAATTGTTGGCCCCATGGGTAGCTATCTTTCCCTTGTACTTCCTCAATATTTTTCTTCACAGCCATAATCTGCAGGATGAATATTATCAGCAAGTTACGAACCAGAGAATAAGTAGGCCATGGAGCTTCTTACCAGACAAACATTGTTGGTGTATACAGTTTAAATACAGAATTCAGAATCATCAAATGATAAATTACAACCAACGATAGCCGCAGAAAGAAATTCTTTCACCAAGATCAAAAATCAAAGAGGACTAACTCGATGAGTGTTTCCTGTGCATCCATGCAGACAAGCATCAGATGCACCACCCAAAGGGTGATCCTTATCATCCGTTTGGATCTCCTCCATAAGAATTACACACAAAACTTACACTTTAAACACTCAATATTAAAGAAATTAGCTAGCCAACTGCACACAATTTTACATAGA